TCCACGAAGGCCCAGTGTACCTGTATCACAGTGGGCATAGCAGAACATGTAAAATCTTGTACTTACTGTAATTTCAAAAGACCCTCCTATGTGTTTAACTGGAACTCAGCACTGCTTAGCAGGAGAGAAGGTAGCAGTTTTTATTGTAAGAGGAATCAGGAAGAAAAACAGCTGTGGCTCTTGGGGTTCTGCGCCAAGAACGTCAGCTCAGAATGGCAGGGTTTGTTCAATGCTTACTCAAGGTCTTAGAATCTTTGCAGAAAGATCCTGTTGTTCCCATTAAATTATAGAAATGACAGGGCGGGGCGGGGGGCACTCAGTATGACAGCCAGTGCCTCCTGCAACAAAATGAGGAGCAAACCATACCATCTTCACCTGTTGCCCAAGATTCAAAAACTTTCTGGGATTTAATGCAAGTAAATGAATGTTATTTTCAGAAAGACCAGGTAAAGGGTCAATAACTTAGAGACTGGAAACATTTTTCAAAGCTCCAGCAGCATCCAAAGGCAAGTTTCTTTTATGTGGACTTTCATGCTTATTAGAGATGGCTTTTGGTGACCCTTAGTGATATGTATTGGGTACAGTGCATACTGTAGTAGCAGAAGCAGAGGCCCGTCTCTAAAAATTTGCAGATAAAAGTAATGTAATAGTTACATAGGTCTGAACTCATAATAAGGACTTCATCAGGGAATCTGAACTTTCCTGATGTAATCAGAATTTTTGAAACCTAATACATTATTTCTTAGAAATAATATTTGTCCTTCTGGAGACTTATAAACAACTATATAGAGTTATATAATCTTGCATATGAACACTCTCTCCACTCAACTCCCAACTCTAGGCAATTCCAAATGTCTGCAATTTCAAAAAAGAAATTGACATTATATAAATAATACATGAACCTGTTTTCTTTATTAAAAATTAAGGCTTGGTGCCTGTCACTCAAGCAGCTAAGGCACCAGCCACATACACCTGAGCTGGTGGGTTCAAATCCAGCCCAGGCTTGCCAAACAACAATGACAGCTGCAACCAAAAATAGCTCTGTCACCCTGGGTCACCCTGGGTACAGTGCCATGGTGTTATAGCTCACAGCAACCTCAGTCTCTTGGGCTCAATAGATCCTCTTGCCTCAGCCTCCCCAGTAGCTGGGGCTAAAGGTGCCCATCAAGATGCCCAGCTAGTTTTTCTATTTTTAGTAGAGATGAGGCTTGCTCTTGATCAGGCTGATCTTGAACTCCTGAGCTCAAGTGATCCACCTCCCTCAGCCTCCCAGAGTGCTTGGATTATAGGCATGAGCCACTATGCTAGGCCTTTATGTCTTGGAGATCTTTCTATGTGGGTATACTATTTTTAACTGCTACATAGTTTTCCATAACCATAGTTATGCCACAAGGTATTAACCAGTTCCTGTGATGACTAATTTATCATTTCTCATTTTCCCACTATTATTAACATTGCCCATAGTGAACATCCTTGTATATACCTCTTTGTGCATTTGGGTATTTCTCTAGAGATGATATTAAAGAATAGAAGTGGCCCATTAAAGGAAAAGTATGTTTTGCATTTTTAAATGGATACTACCAAATTGTCCTCCAAAATTTTAATACCACTTTACACACCCCAGTTAGTAGCGCTACTGTGCTTTTACTATATAGTCCTTTCTTTAGCTTAAGGCTTTTGGTCCTAGAGTGCCTGGAATTACATTACAGATTACTCCAGCAGGGGCAATTAAGTCCTTAAAAGCAGAAAATTTTAGGGGGAGTAGTTTTGCTGGAATCTGGGAAGAGAGTAGGTTCCTGGAACTTCCTAAGAAGCCAGGGAACAACCTGAAGACCAATGACACTAAAAGGCAGGAGTGAGTGATCATAAGGGTGATTAAGACGATAAAGGAGAAGTGGGGATAACTTGCAACCGGGAGGGCCTGGGGAAGCTGGAAGAACATTTAGGTCAGATTTGGGGGGTCTGGGATTGCAGTGTGGTGTTTTGTAGACTCTCATCTCTAATACCTCCGGCTCACCCCTGCCCCAGCCCACTCATTTTACTTCTCCAAGAGGCTGACTTTGTGTGTGTGCACATGCTTGTTTTATGACTCTCCTAAGGCCATATGTCAGCCTTTAAAGGGATTGATGGCAAGATAGAGATCTCAGCCTAAACCAGCTCTCAGCCAAATTCTTTCCTGATAATCATTTCTAAGACCACAAAGACAAACAGAATGCTTACCCCCATCAAGTTCCTAGTGGCCATCTATTCCACATCTAAATTTAATAGAAAGTTTCTGAAGATTTTACCCCCTCCCAAAGCATCTTAAAGTCTTAAAATTCCAAACGTTTGTTTTGTTCTCGAGAATCTTGCTTACTTGTTACAAAAAAAGAAGGAAAATTGTTTCACAATCTGGCACAAAATTGTAGCAGATTATTTTAATAACATTTTAAATTTTTGACCAACTTGGCATCTTTATTTTTTGGACTATCATTAGTGCAACTGATTGTTCAATTAATATTTCCCCTAAGCCAGTGCCTCCCAAACTTTGCAGAATAACGGAATCACCTGGGGACTTTTTAAAAATCTCCACATTGATTAAACAGAATACTTGGGATGGAAGTCAGGCATTGGGAGTTAACTGATTCAATAAATAAGAGAAAAAAATCTTAGTTAAAAAAATACAATTTCAGCTCAGTACCTGTAGCACAGTGTTTACGGCGCCAGCCATATACACCAAGGGTGGTGGGTTTGAACTTGGCCTGAGCCAGCTGGACAACAATGATAGCTACAACAAGGCGCCAGCCCCATATACCAGAGGTGGCAGGTTCAAACCCAGCCCTGGCCAAAAAAAAAAAAAAAAACTGCAAAAAACACCCCAAAATAGCCAGCCGTTGTTGTGGGTACCTGTAGTCCCAGCTAATTGGGAGGCTGAAACCAGAGAATTGCTTAAGCCCAAGAGTTTGAGGTTGTTGTGAGCTGTGACACCACAGCACTTTACCAAAGGTGACATAGTGAGACTCTGTCTTAAAAAATATATATACACACACACACTTTCTGGGAGGTAAAAGGCAGTGATATAGTCAGATATTTCAACTACTCCAAGTATTTTTCTGGTATCAAAGAATGTTGGTACGATAGACCTATTGAACAATAGCTTACAAAATGAGATGCAGTACTAATAAAATTCATCCAATTGAGACTTTAATTAAGGTAGGTATTTGGTTAACATATTATTGAGTATAGAAAGAGCATAAACTCCAGTGTTTTCTTGATTATTTAGTGGAAGTTTGTATATTATACAATGATAACATGGACGAGTTTTATGAGCCTCAGGAAGGTGTCCTTAATGAAATGTAGACAGACCCATTGGTGCTTAGAGAACACGTAGGGAGAGCCTCCTTAAGGATTTAAAGGAATTAGTTATTTTTGAGCCTTGGGGGTGGGGAGAAGGAACCAGAGACAGCCTTATCTCCCCCCGCGTTTCTTCTAGCCATAGGTGCACTCCATAGTTCTTTTACCGCTCATACACACTTCTCATTACTCTTAAGATTCTAAAGAATTCTTAAGCTTCCATTCCCCAGCTGGTAAGGGATTTGCATCCCACCTAGATAAAAGAGCAAGCCTATTGCCGGACTTATGGCCAAGTGAGTCAGCACCTGCCCCCTGGACAAGCACATACAAACCCCAGGGCTGCTCTGTCTTGGGAGGCAGGGAGCAAGGGAGGGAGGGGATTTAAAAACCTGCAGTGTGGGGGACGGTGCTGTTTGCCCTGCTTTCTCTGGGGAAGTGACTTGCTCAAACCCCTGCCTTGCTGAACTGCTTCATGCCGCTTTGAGTAGGGCCTGGTGAAGTGTGTCTTTCCTTACACCTAGATGCACTACAGGAGAGTTCTGCTGCTGCTTTTTAGCTTGCTTTCTTGCTGGGTCTTTAATAGGCAACTGGGTGTCTGTTCACTTTGGAAGCCTTCAATCTGGGCCGTAGCTGTCATGTATTTATTTCCTGCTAGCCCGGCCCCCTCTCTGGACCGAAGTCACCTGCTGGGTATGTACTTTGACTCTTGTTGATCTAAAGGGAATAGAATTACCTAATAGGTGTAGGATAATCCTTTGGGGGAACTAGTCTTGGGCTTCTGTCCAGACCAAGATGCTTTGACAATGCATCTTGGTCTATCGGGGTGAGTGTTCAGAAAAGCCGAGCCAGCAGCTGAAGTAGGCGTTGTGTACTTTCTGCTGTAGTTCCCTCTCTGGCATTCTTATCTAACCTAGATTGTCACTTCTATTGTGAGCACTCCTTTTACCCTTCTTATTTTGCACTGTCAACAGTAGTGACACAATCATAGCTTTCAAAATATTCTTAAGGATCCAAAGGAAGAACAAGTTTAAGTAAGTTCATCTCTAAAGAAACCTAGTGTTTAAATAAATAAATAAATAAGGGGGGGTGTGTGGAAGAAACCTAGTGTTTTAACCTGATGACTTCTAAGTGTAGAATTCCACCTGCAGACCTGACTGTTTTGAACTGGACAAAGTAATTATCTGAAGCTTTGAATTGGCCTATTGGTGTGTTTTTAGTATTATCATTGGCTGGAAGTAAATGCTGCAAAAGTTTTCATGTTTTTGAAGGTATAGTTGAACTTTGTTTTAAAAAAACAATTCCTGAAGAAAACCTAAAATGACTGATAATTTTGTGTAACTTTTATTTGTTGTTGTCTCGGTAAGTTGGCATCTTTTTTTATCCACCTTGAGAGTTGAACTGAAAAAGACCATTCCCTCGTAAAGAATCTCACAAGCATCTGAGAGCCTTGTGACTCACTTCACCTTGCTCACAGCTATTATTGTTGACAAGCTTAGTGTATCTTCTGTCTGAATCTGCCTGTAAGTTGTCATAATCTTTATTTTTTTATTTTATTTTATTTTATTTTATTTTCTTATAGCATAACTGTGTACATTAATGCAATCATGGGGTACAGTGTACTGTTTTCATATACATTTTGAAGTCATAATCTTTCTATTGTCTTTTAGGACTGCCAACGAGACTCCCAGAAATCATGTTGGTAGGATCCCAGTCTTTTTCACCTGGAGGGCCCAATGGGATCATTAGAAGCCAGTCCTTTGCAGGTTTCAGTGGCCTTCAGGAAAGGCGATCCAGGCAAGTAGTATGTGGTTCTCTCCTGTAGTGCAGCTTGAGAAGCATGTGAGCTTTGATGTCCTGAAGAGGGTCTCTGTGCATTCAGCCTCACCAGAAAACACATACACACACAGTTTTAATCTCCTTTTCATTGAAAGGACATACCAAAAATTAAGTGCTATAATTTCTTTTCTAACATTTAGAATTCCTACTGAAAAAAAGATGGCTGACGATTTAGGATAAGCTAGTGATGTATGTATAGACCACTCCACATCCTTTCTAAAACGTGTATTCCATTGCGATCAGATTTTGCTGACTGTGTAGTGTGAAGTTATTTAGTGGATAAAGACTGTGCCTCTGCCGACTGATTCCAGGAAGGGATGTCATTCCAGACAGGCGTTGTCAAAGTCAGTCTTCTAGTTTCTTTGGAATCTCATCTCATCTAAGACAGGACTTAGGGGAACTCAAGAAAGAAAGAACAGCTAGTGAATAGGTAACATGGAAAAAAGTTTGTCTTCAGTTTTTCTGATTTGATAAAGGTCTTAGCCTCTGAAGAGCCCATTGTGCTTAGTTGATCATATTGTTCCTTTTGGTGCACACGGTGATGACAGAGGAGCACAGCTAATGACTAAGTGGGGAGGGGTACAGCAGGCACCTGCTAGACTTGGAGATCCCAGCTTTCCCGCTGATAGCTGGGTCAGCAAGTAGCCTGGCCCCAGATCACTACTTTGGGTTTAAGTTATCAGGCACCCATCTTATCACTACAAACTGCATCCCTGACTGGAGATGTGGAATTTTTATACATTGTACCTACTCATAATTTATTCCATGATAATGGAATGTCATACAGAATTCTCTAATGTCATATAGAATTAGTTATTTAGCATGCTGTGGCCCCTTATCAAAAAGACTTCCTTCATACCCTACTTGAACTTAATGGATGCATGTACCTAATATTGCACAGTGCATGGACTTTTTAGTTGCATTATATCTTCTTCCCATGCTTTGTGTCTAAGAACCGTTTGTTCTTGGCTTCCTACATGTACATACTAGGTTTTAGAGAAGCAATACATTTTCACTCAGAGTACACATTACCTGAAGCCAGACTTTGACTCTGTAGCCTCTGCCCAACAAAGCTTTCAGATTTCAGCAGTTAACAAATTTAATCCCAAGGAACAAAGGATAGCTCAGATCTGTTAATACACAAGGGAACATTACCTTCCACAAAGGACACTAATGGGAACACAAGATAATTAAAAAGATACTTCTTGAGTCACATCCTGTTGGATGCCCAAGGCTCACAATTTCTTCTGCTTTTGTTTTGTTTTATTTTGTTTTCCCTTCCCATAGGTGTAACTCCTTCATTGAAAATTCCGCCGCTCTCAAGAAGCCTCAGGCCAAACTGAAGAAAATGCATAATTTAGGTCACAAAAACAACAACCCTCCCAAAGAGCCTCAGCCTAAAAGGGTGGAAGAAGTCTACAGGGCCTTGAAAAATGGACTCGAGTAAGAACCTTAAACCTGATAATGCACATTATGGAATGATGTGGGAGGGGTGTCAGAGTAAAGCTAGTATGATGAGGTCATGTCTTAAAATGTCTTTTTCTATAGGAGATATTTTATTCTTGTGCCTCAGTCAGGGAAGACTTAAATGAATCTCAAAGATAGGAAATGTGTTGAGATTCCACATCCTATCCATAGCATTGAGAAAAACTCGAAACCTTGTACGTGTTGAATTTTACTCAAACAGTGGTGGACAGGTATCTCCATTCTAGGGATTGCTGAAGGAGGACTCTGCAACTGCAACCTTCCTGAGTATACTGTGGGGATTGTGTGCCCAGAATAAGGCTTTCCTCATGTGCGGCGAGACATTCACAGTGTTATGTTTAACTAGATAGAATTCTGTGAGCCCAGACCAGGGCTGGATATAGGATGGGACCCCTGTCTTCCCCACAGGTTTTTTCCTTTCTGGATTTTCAGCCTCACAAGGGTTCTCCTTTTTGATGAGCTAGATAAATCTGATGCAACTAACAGAACGTTCAAAACATCGAAAGATTGGGAAAAGACAAAGCCCCCTCCCCCCTTTCTCAACTACAGAGCAAGGCTCAATTCTTAATACCCTTTGAGAAAGAAAATGCCAGCAACAGCAGCATACCACTGTTCAGAGTTCACTTTTACGTCTCATCTTATCTTTGCAGTGAGTATCTGGAAGTTCACCAGACAGAGCTGGACAAGCTGACAGCTCAGTTAAAAGATATGAAAAGAAACTCTCGCCTGGTAGGTACAGTGCAGTCATTAAGATGCTAACTCGGTATTTATTTGCTAAGCATAATCTTTTACTGGACGGGGATAGGGAGGAATGTTTAAGCAACACATGTCCAAGGGGCAAAGTGCAATCTGCATCCTGATGATAGGAAGAAGATTGCAGTTTTCTTCTTCCTGCGGTATTTTTAATACTTGTCAAATGAGAAGTTCAAATTTTCTTTGTGTATTGTTAGTACATACAGATTTGGGAACTCGGAACTTTTATTTTACTTCCAATTAAAAAAAAAATAGGTCCTTAAAAAAACTGGGAGGGAAAGGCGACTTAGAAATGTAATAGACTTTATAAGGTGAAGGAGTTCCTAGGCTAGTTTGTGTACACATTATATTCAGAATTTCTTCTAATAATCTGTGAGGACTTGTGGTTGAAGTGTGGTTCCAGTGTTTACACTACTCTAAATGGTTTTATTCAGTTGTAAGTGATACCACACCTTACTGTTCCTAGGCCTCAGAAAGCCCGAGAAAAGTCTACATGTCCCTCCGTGTGCAGCAACTAGATGTTCATAGCGCTTATCCGCTTATCCTTTTCTGTTTTAGGAAATGCGCTAACATGTATATTGTTGCCCTTCTCAAAAGCTTAGAGATGAAAGGCTTGATGAAGGTTGAGAGGTTTTATATCTACTGAAGTTAGAATGCTCATTGCCCCGTCTGTGTAGCTCTGCTTATGGGACGGCCTTCAGAGTTTATTTATTTATTTATTTTATTGAGACAGAGTCTCACTTTGTCACCCTTGGTAGAGTGCTGTGGCATCATAGCTCACAGCAACTTGCCTTAGCCTCCCTAGTAGCTGGAACTATAGGCCCAGCTAGTTTTTGTTGTTGTTTAGCAGCCCCCGGGCCAGGTTTGAACCCACCAGCCGGAGAGCTTGTGGCCAGCACCCTAACCACTGAGTAATGGGTGCCCCCCCCCTCTTCAGAGCTTTTAAAAGGCCTTGACCCACCTTGATGGCAACAAATTTTCTTCCTTGGAGAACAATGGCTAATGGAGGAGCTTCCACCAAAACCTCTTATTCCATAAAAATCCTTCCAATGGGGAATACAGGGATGGTGCACCAATCGTACTGTGATACTGTGAGCACATAGGAAATCAGCCTGCTTATTTCCATTCTCAAGAACTCCTCTTCAAGCCCAGTTTTAACATACCTACTGCTGCTACATTGTATGTTAACACCATTTACTTAAAAAAATTTTTTAAATCAGCATGAATGATATGCCCTCTGATATGTAGGATAGGAGAGCTCAAAGCAAGTGAAAACCTTAAAGCTCGCCAGGGGCAGAGAAGGGTACAATTTGGGAAACAAAGAATATGAATAAATTTCGGCTTATAAAAGCACTCCTACTGGTAGTTAAAATAACCCAGATTTTTACTCTTTTAAGGCAAATGGCAAAAATCTGGTGAAACTTTGTGAGACTGATAATTATTCACAGATAATATAGAATCAGAGGCCATATTATTCTATTAAGATGGGTTACTTTTGGGGGAAAGATGTTTTAATCCGGATATTCCTTTTTTCTTTCTAGGGTGTGCTGTATGAACTAGACAAGGTAAGTTATCTTTTTGTGTTGGGTGTCATTACAAAATAAAGCCCGGCATCCTTGAGTAGAAGTCAGTGAGAGACCTTCTTAAGGATAATAAAATCCCAGAGAACTGATGATTTTTCTAATTCTGGAAAAATTCATTATTTTGTCTAATGAGGATGATGAATAAGCACTATGATCTATACATGCAAAAAAGCATTTAAGGCCACTCTCATAAAAATGCCACTAGGATGTAGGGTTTCTCAGTGTTTGGAAAGTTTAAGAACTTTCCGAGTGTCTGGAAGCCCTTGCCTGCGTTGTCTCTGAATAATAACACTCATACCTCATCAAATCCCAGTTGTCACTGATTAGAAAATGTACCATGACTTTACATGCCACAGAGATTTTTTTAAAAAGAAAAGATTCCCCTTAAACTCTGATGAGTCTTTCTTTTCATTTAAAATTTGTGTTTTGTACTTACTGAGAAAACTCTTTTAAACGTTTGTAGATGCAGACTTTTTTCATCTTTATTTATATATGATGCCGCTCTCTTTCCGTGCCTTTCTGTGTACACGATAATTTTATTTCAAGGCTGAATCATAATATATTCATTTTGAAGACATTTTAAAGGGCAGTTAATTTAATTAAATGCATATAATAATGATACACATATTTATGATTCAAACAGATGACACAGGAACAACTGTGATTATCTGTGAGCAGGCACAGGCAGCTATCTCAGACCACTTGGCCAGGAGCCATTGCATGATGCACCCCAATTCCACAGAGGTGAATACTAAAATGTGAAGGGGGAAGAAAATCCCATCCTAGAACACATATTATTATGAAAAGGTTTACATATATTCCAATAAATATAAATAGATGTTGTTCTGCCAGAAACGTAATGAATTCCATCGGATTGGCCTCCTGGATGTTAAATACAGGGATTCTAATAACCCAAGTTCATCTCTCAGAATACTCATTCAAGACTTAAACAATACTTCCCAAATTGATATTAGAGACTCTTTTAAATAGGAACAAAGATAGAAGGCAAGGGGAACAATGTAGCATTTTCTGATACTTTTGAGTATGACGTAATAAAATATTTTCATAAGTCTAAACATCTTGAAATGTAAATGACTGTACCTCTTCAAACTTCTTTTAATTCCAGCAAATTAAAACGATTGAAAGATACATGAGACGCCTGGAGTTTCACATTAGTAAGGTAATTGAAGTTCCTGTTGTCTTCACCTGTTTTTAAGTTTTCAGATACTAATCAATACACCTTTGCCCTAAACATAGTATCTAGGCCGTGGAGAATTTCTTAGCTAATTGACTCCTAAACTGATCAACAAGTACGTCCTCAAATAAACAGCGAAGATGGAAACAAAATAAGAATGGAAGGTCTGATATAGCACAATTTGGGCTCTGTTTCAGTTCTGCAAATATGTATCAGGTACTAAGTGATCTGCCTGGTGGAGGGTTCACAGTCTCTGTCATGTGGTTAAAGATTAAATCAAACTAACCTCACAAGAAACTTCATACTTACCTAACTGTACACTCTGGCTCCACATGCAACTTGGTGCCTCATAAACGTCTTCATAAAGGCCTTATGAGTACTAAAAGGCGGTCTGGGGCGGCGCCTGTGGCTCAAGGAGTAGGGTGCCAGCCTCATATACCAGAGGTGGTGGGTCTGAACCCGGCCCTGGCCAAAAACTGCAAAAAAAATAAAATAAACAAAAGGCTGTCTGTGTACCTCCCTAAGTCCTTGTCAGCCTCTTGGTTCTTCCCACTCTTGTTCATGTGGCATGGTTTCCAGATGTCTCCAGATGTGCACCATCCCTCACATCCAGCCCTGGGTTCTATAAATAATTTGTTAGTGGTCTAGTGAGCCTCGTGTGCATTGTGACTATCACCTCCCTGTTTAGACTCCATCCGGAGTTATTGGTGCTACCTAAGGAAGACTTCCCTTTGGGGGCAACTAAATCATACCATTAGTGATTCCTGTTTCCATCGATACCCATCAGCCTCTCTTCCACATGGGGAGATTGGGGTCTTAGCAGATCTCTCTACTAGGAGTTAGTAGCCTTAGGTTTTATTCCCAGTTTGGCTACATGCACACTGGCCATATCCACCTGTATGGACCTTGGCTTGCTTCTCTTGTGAGATGGGACTAGGAAGTGGCATATATTCCATCTAGATGATCTTAAGAATCTGTTTCAACGTAAAATGCAGTGTAAAATCTCAATGCCTGCTACTGGCTTCCTATGTTCCCACTTTGAAAGATATTTATTACCTAGGCAAAACTAAAATTGCTCTTCTTTTTGCTAAATTCAATAAATAAAACAATGACATCCATTAGATGATATTTTTGTCAGGCAAGCTTTGACAAATTTTTCTATTTAGTTCAAAAACTGTAAGAAGGCCGGGTGTAGTGGCTCACACCTTTAATCTTAGTACTCTGGGAGGCTGAGGCGGGTGGATTGCTTGAGCTCAGGAGTTCAAGACCAGCCTGAACAGGAATAAGACCCCCATCTCTACTAAAAATAGAAAAACTAGCAGGGTGTTATAGAGGGGGCCTGTGGTCCCAGCCACTTGGGAAGCTGAGGCAAAAGGATCACTTTAGCCCAAGAGACTAAGGTTGCTGTGAGCTAGGATGCCATGGCACTCTACCTCAGGCAGCAGAGTGAGACTTTTTCTCACCCCTAACCAAAAAAAAACAGTAAGAAAACAAAATCAATATGAATGTTTTGACATAATAACTAAGAAAGTTACATGAAGGCTATGTTAACCAGTTTGATGGAAGTGTCTTGGATTGTGTGTGAAAACACCACACTGTACCCCCAAAGTGCATCAGTGTACACAGTTACCATTCAATAAAAAAAAAAAGAAAAGAAAATCAACATTAGGTAAGCATGTATTTATCCATCTTATGTCTATAGTGGTTAAATACAATAACCCTAATTGTTTTCAAAGGCTGGTGGCATTCTATTTGCAGCACCCTATATACAAGAGGGTTAACAAATTATATATAACTGAATGAGTCAATTAGTCAATTTATTTAATGAGAGCCACTGCTGACTGATAGGTATGACACAAACTTGCCTACAAACGGGCTACTTTCTGTTCAGGTAAGTACATGCCTAAAGTTTAACACCAATTAGCTGTCGATAGATTGACATTTAAGAGAGAACAAAGAACAAACTTTTCTTTCTAGGAGGAATAATAGATTAAGTCATGAAGGCTATACTGATGGTCCAATAAGCACTCTCTCCTTCTTGAGAGGATTATAATCTCAGAAACTTCAGAGTAGCCAATAGTGGGGGAAAGGACTGGAGGGGCAATTTCCCAAAAGACCACATGGGTGACACAGCCTGGCCTGCATTGAAAGAGATATTGACACTGAAGTCTCTCAAAGCTTTGTGGGGATCTCCCACAATAGAACAATCTGCAATGTTTATTTAAAATGTCATATTCCTGGCCCAGCCCTAATCTGCTGACTCAGCACCTGGGGAGGGGGAGGGGCTGGGCATCAGCATTTTAACAAGCTCACCAGGTGCGTCTTAGCTTAGTTTTAAAGCCTGGAAACCACATTCTGTGTCAATCACCCACCAAAAGATTTTATCAGCAGATTTGCTACCCCTTGAGTCTTATATCTCCCTCTTAATCAGCAATAAATTTATTGACCCTGAAGATTAAAGACTATTCTTTTCGGAGTTTGGGGATTCCTCTCTGCAAAGTTGAGTAAATTTTTGAACTAAATAATAACAAAGAATCCTTTAATCAAGATAATAATTTTTAGTTTCTTTCTTTTTTTTTTTTTATTGTTGGGGACTCATTGAGGGTACAAAGAACCAGGATACATTGCTTGCATTTGTTAAGTAAAAAATTTTTAGTTTCTTAATGTTCACATTCTAAATGAGTGATCTAGTATCACTGACATCTACATAGAAAAAGCAATTATGGACAATTGCACCACTCTCACGTGTCACAGGAGTGCCTTCCAGTGAGTAGCCAAAAGTTTTCCTTTAGAACAAAAGGCAAATCATAAACTCTGAAGTCCAGTGTAGGCATCTCCACTTTCTTCTGAATCTATAGCTTAAGCCTCCTTTTTGAAGAAACAAAGTTTGTTTTCAAGGAAATAAAAATTCAAATAGTCCTAAGAAGGTAACTGCCCCCCCAAAGCAATAGCCTGCACTTGCTTTTGCTCATGCCTAATGACATTGTCCTCCGTTATTCAGCCTGAAAATTCCTGTTGTTATCTGCAGTTGGTTCAGTGTGTTGATAACGGAAGATAATGCAAGACCATAGGGGTAGAATCATCAGGAATATAACTTTAGAACAGGTTTTCTTCAACTTTGGCACTATTACTATTTAGGGATAATTCCTTGTTGTAGGGGGAATGTCCTCTGCTATTACAGGACTTTTAGCAATATCCCTGCCTTCCACCTGCTCAATGACAATAGACCCTTGGGAGTCAAAAACACCTTAAGTTGATTGAGAACCACTGTCTTAGATGCATTAAGTGATTATCAGGCTTATCTGATGAGTATAATTAATAGTTATTTATTTATCTCTTTATTTATTTATTGAGGCAAATCTCATTCTGCTGCCCTGGGTAGAGTGCAGTGGCATGATAGCTCACAGCAACCTCAAACTCTTGGGGTGTCTACCGCTACGCCTAGCTAGTTTTTCTATTTGTTCAGGCTGGTCTCGAACTCCTGAACTGAAGCAATTCACCCACCTCCCAGAGTGCTAGGATTACAGGTGTGAGCTACCGTGCCTGGCCAACCAGTCATTTTTAAAGCATATATTATTGAAAAGCATACATGGCAAGGAAAATTTCATTTATGTTGCTTCAATTTATTTTTTAATTATGGTGTAATTTATGTACTAAAGAGTTCACATTGTACGTTTGACAATTGTATTTTACCCTAATTTTAAGAATAACTTCATTTTCTCTCTTTATTGTTGCACCTTGATTTTATAAAAATTGTTTTAATTAATAGCCCCAAGTTCTTTTAAGTAATGCTAAATCTAGATGTGTAAATATCACCTGTGACAATACCTCTTAAAATAAAGCGATAATAGCCTAGTACACTACAAAGTTTTCACCTTGGTGTGAAACTGTATAAACCCTTTTGGTATTTGTTCCATACAAAGAAGGCTCTTGTCTTCATTATATTAAATGATGAAGTATTTTGTCTCACAAATAGTCTCACACAGTCCTCCAGTGGACCAACAGTACCACCTAAAAGCAATTTTAAGTCATTCCAATGATAGCCTTAAAAAATGCAAGGGAGGCATTTTTATTTTATATAATTTGAAAAACAAGATTGCAGTGAGGTGGCTCATACCTATAATCCTAGCATTCTGGGAGGTCGAGGTAGGTGTATTGCCTGAGCTCATGAGTTAGAGACCAGCCTGAGCCAGAGTGAGACCTCGTCTCTAAAAATAGCCAGGCATTGTGCCAGGTGCCTGTAGTCCCAGCTACTTGGGAGGCTTAAGCAAGGGAATAGCTTAAGCCCAATATTGAGGTTCCTATGAGTTGGGACGCCATGGCACTCTACCGAGGGTGACAAAGTGAGACTCTGTGTGATCAGAGTAAAATCTGTTTTGAGAAAAAACAGATCACAGGGGCTAAAATAAAAATGATTGGTTCTGGCTAAAAGAATAGCACTTCTATATGATTCTCCTTGTAGAGGTCAAAAACATAAAGCACCTTCAGCACATAACAATGGTCTACGTAACTTCTTTCAAGCATAACAAGTTCATACCTCAGTGTTTCCTGTTTTGATTCTGGCAGGTAGATGAACTCTATGAAGCTTATTGTATCCAACGACGCCTCCAAGATGGTGCCAGCAAGATGAAGCAAGCCTTTGCAACTTCCCCTGCCAGCAAAGCTGCCCGGGAGAGTCTGTCAGAGATCAACAGGAGCTTCAAAGAGTACACAGAGGTACAAATGAACTCCTAGTTGCTGAACCTGGCCTGGCCTGGTGTGACTTTAAGTAGCTACAAAGAACAAGGCGAGCAGCCACCCTCAACCTCATTCTACTCTCCAGAGAGACAAGTTTCACTATTAGCTTTGAAAGTATACAAGAGAGGCAATCAGCAGAATTATTAAAAATGAGGAAGCCACAGTGCCCTGATTTCTGTCATTTGAATGCACTTCTAAGTATTTTAGTGCACAATCCAGTCTAACTTTATCTCTGGAAGTCAAATAGACCCTGGCTATGCTGGATGTCAGTGTTGTTTATCAGTAAACTTCCTGCTACATTTTTTTTTTTTATTGTGAGAAATTTTTATCTCAAAAGAGACAAGATAAAGAACCGTGAACAGAAGTGTACTTTCTGGGTTTCTGACTCCCTAGGGCCAAGCATCTGACACAGAGGTCATCGCTTTTCCTGGGGTCACCTAATACCAATGCCTTTGATGAAATGACTGAATTATTAAAGCAGCACTTTTCACTGTCTCATGAGTCTTTGTTAGGAGATCCAATTTCATGAATGAAGTCATCAGCTTGGAGAGGGGCTGTTGGACAATTCCCAGAGCTGAGCATCTGTCTCAGCCCTGGGACCAAGAGACCTTTTGGATGACTTTCAGTCGGATGCTCTGTGTCTATACCCCACTGTTGCCTCTTGTCTCAACCTAATTAGTCTCTTTTCATGACATAAAACAGGGCTTCTTTACCAAAGTTCCTCCTTTCAGAATAAGGTTTTTTAAATGCATAAAATAAAATATATAGGAATTGAATGGAAAGATTATATTGAAATAGTTACGTCAATATTGTCAATACAGTTGTCAAAATATTTTAAAAGTCAAATACTATGATATTAATATATCAAATTATGAAATCTGGCTCGGTGCCTATGGCTCAAGCGGCTAAGGCGCCAGCCACATACATCTGACCTGGCAGGTTCAAATCCAGCCCGGGCTGCCAAACAACAATGATGGCTGCAACCAAAAAATAGCCAGGCGTTGTGTCAGGCACCTGTAGTCCCAGCTACTTGGGAGGCTGAGGCAGGAGACTCGCTTGAGCCCAGGAGTTGGAGGTTGCTGTGAGCTGTGATGCCACAGCACTCTACCCAGGGCGACAGCTTGAGGCTCTGTCTCAACAAAAAAAAAAAAAGAAAGAAATCTAGCAGTGGCTCCAAAACTACTGATAATTCAAAATAGTGAAAAGTATAAATGATTTTTTTAAGTTATCTGTAACAAATGCTATGATATGGACATACATGTGATTTCTATCAGTGTCATCACAGGTATTACTAGTAATGCTCTGGCTTGTTTTCCATATTCTGGATATGTGAAAGTAAAGATCTGAGTCTTGCTACCACCTGTCCCCAAACCATTTTCAACCTGCATGTTAAAATCCCTGGCTTAGAACCAACCCTAGTTCATGAGACCCCATGTCTACAGGTCTCAGAAACCAGAAGAGCCATTTCTAATTATAGAGGCTGTTTATAGTACAAAAGCAGATAACTGACCAGCAGCTTGCAGGAGCCACTTGTCCTGGAATAATTTACAGGTCGTTTCAGAAATAGCCACTGTTGGTCAAATGCCAGGGTATGGCATCATGACTTTGTTCACAAATTCAAAGACATAGAATGCCATCAAGCAAGAGGAAGAGCTGCCTTAGAGAGGGAAGATGTTCAGGACTTGTGTAGCTTCATACCTCACTTGACATCAGATGGTTGATTTTGTATCCTCCCATGCTCACAAAAGCCAGCATTTTGTCACAGTGAGGGTTTAAAATAAGGATTTAACAAGGGCGAGATAGCTCAGCATATCATTGCATGTGCAGCAATGTTCCTTGTTGGCTGCATGAGTGAGAACATTTTGACCAAGCATGTCCTCAACTCCTAACCTAGCTGCCCTCCAAGTTTTTTCAGACATATTGGTAGCTATCATGACATTCACAATTAACATAGGTGATATTTCTGGAAACTGGAATGCATTCCTTCACAGATGCCCAACAGGTCTGAGGAAGCAAATTCATTTACAATACTGAAACTTTGTTTTCAAAAGCCTTTAAGCTGCACAGAGCTCAGACTTGAAGAAGTTTTCCCCAGTTTTGCTAAACTATTTGAGATACTGAGAACTCACCAAAGAGAAAGCTATGCCATTCTCTTTATATTCCATGAGAGCAATCATTTGGGGCAGAACAAAGGACCAAATACATAAGAAGCAGAACCTCCAGCTTTATAAATCAAGGCTGAGGTCCTCAGCATACAGAATTCAGGTGGAAGCGGTACCTGCTGGCACTCACTAAGCTGTCCTCAGAGAGACCACCCCTTGGGCCCCCAGCCCTAATGGAGGCCGGCTGCTGAGGGAGAAGCCTGCAGATGCCACTCTGCATCAAGCTTCCGTGGGGACAGCTGCTTAGTGTAACAGAGGTGACACCCAAAGCATAATATGGCCAAGCAGCAGAAGGGCCTCGCTGAGGATGGCCCCTGGCGACAGCACGTTCCCTTTTGGTTTCTAGCTCTGTTTAGGTCCTCAGACATTGCAGAAGTAGGGCAGGGTAGTTATGCATCTACTCCCAATTATAGAGGATGTTGCTCCTTCCATTGATCCTTCAACATCAGATTGAGGAAAGGATCCTTGTCAGACTCAGAAACCTTTTTTGGGGTATCATAGCAGGAAGCCTAAATCACTCACTTGAGCAGAATTCTGCTCCTGTGCTTTTTTGGCCCCAAATTTTTACAAAGAAAACTGCAAACCTACAGGAAAGTTGAAAGGCTAGTATACTGAACACCACATATCTTAATCTAGACTTACCAAGTGATAACATTTTTCCATATTTGCTTTCCCTCACTCTCTCATATACTTAATTTTTCAATACAAATGGAAAAATCATTGACAGTGATAGATATTATGCCATTTCACTCCATAAATATTTTAGCACAGATCTTTTTAAAATTTATTTATTGACAAGTAAAATTGTCAAATGTATTGACAAGTAAAAATTGTATATATCTGTTTTATAATACGCTGTCCTGAAGTATGTATACACTGTGGAATGACTAAGTTAAGCTACGTAATATATAACGTGGATCTCCTAATAGTAACGTGCATTTCCAACATGACCACATGCTGTGATCACAACTAAGAAAATTAACAATCATCCTATAGAATTATCTAACATTGTATCCATTTTGAAATTTTTGGCCCAAGAATGTCACTGATAATTGTTTTGGTTTATTTGCTTGTCTTTTAAATCAGGACATAATTAAAATTAAGGCCTTGAATTTGGTTCCCATGTCTTTTTAAGTCTCTGTTCAGGATTTTTTTCCCCTACAATATCACCTTTTTATAGATTCCAGGCCAGTTCCTATAGAATATCCTACATTCCAGATTTGTCTATTTTTGATGTAATTTAAGGCATTCATCTATGACCCTAAATTTCTTGTATACTAGAAGTCTTGCTTACAGTTGGACTAAATATTTGGTCAAAAATATTTCCTAGCTCATCCTGTGCAACTCATTGCAAACAAGTAAATTCCTCTTGTTGGTCATGCCATGGTTGCTGCTCCTATTAAAACATCACGTGCTTTGATTGGGTGACAGCAAGCTCGCTCTAATGCCCACCTCCTATCTTCTTCACAGAATATGTGCACCATTGAAGCGGAGCTAGAGAGTCTGCTGGGGGAATTCTCCATCAGGATGAAAGGTATTTTTTTCCCTATTTGGAAAAAGTCAGGAGCCATCTCCGTGGAGTGCAGAGCTCCTTAGAATTTGAGAGCACACACTATTTTTATTTTCCTTACAGAGATACCTTGCTGCCCACTGCCCACTCTCAACTTTCCCCACTTAAGTTAGTTTATTGATGTTTCTTACCCTGAGACTTGCCTACACACTTGAAAATATATATTTATTATGACAGAATCTCCAACATACATTCAAGCAGACAGAACATTATAATGAACCCCCATAACCCATCACCTGGATTTAATAATTAGCAAGATTCTGCCACATTTGTTTCATCTATTTTCTTTTGTTTTTCCTTTGATGAGAGAGATGTCATTTGATGAAATAAAACCCAGATACGTCAGTCTGCCCCTGCACACTTCCCTTGCACCTCTTAAAGAACAAGGCCATCTTTTTACATAACCAGTATGCCAAGTACTGTCACATTTCACATCTAACAGAAATACTAAGCCTTTGTTACTAACACGTTCCTTTATCAAATCTCCCAAGTTGTCACAAATGCTTTGTAGTCCAAATTAGGATCCAGACAGGTCTGTGCATTATAATTAGTTGTTAGGTTTATCTTTTAGGTTTCCTTTAATCTAAAACAAACTCCATCCCTTTTTTTTTCTACCGTGGACTCATAGAAACCTTTGTTGTACAGAATGTCCCACATTCTAGACTTGCTGTTGGCTTCTTTGTGGTGTTATTTAAATAGTTCCTTTATCCCTCTTGTTTCCAGTAAACTACCTGCCACTTTTTTTTTTTTTTAGAGACAGAGTCTCACTTTATTGCCCTCAGTAGAGTGCCATGGTGTCACACAGCTCACAGTAACTTCCAATTCCTGGGCTTAGGTGATTCTCTTGCCTCAGCCTCCTGAGTAGCTGGGACCACAGTCAGCTGCCACGACCCCCAGCTATTTTTTGTTGAAGTTGGGCCAGGGCCGGTGCCCTGCTCATTGAGCCACAGGTGCTGCCCTACCTACCACTTTTTTTTAATCCTAGCGCTAAACACACAGAAGATTGTGCCTTTTCCCCTCTTTTTCCCAGGGCCCTTTTTGGTGTTTATTCCAGAAAGTTCCAATCTAGAAGCATTATCAATTAATACTACAGCATCTTCAGAACCAAGAGGATGCCGGGTTTTAGAAAGTGGAGCATCACACAGGTGCTGTCAGATTACAGCTCAGCGGCCAGGCAGGGCTGTCAAATAAGCAGCCATCGGCAAGTCCCCAGTTTAGGCCCATTTGACTGCAGCAAAGAGGGCTGGTGCTTATGCATTTCTTTCTAAGGTTTCTTAGCAGCTTGATCCCTGGGTTGCTAATGGGGATTTAATCACCCTCTTGTCTACTTTCTGCAATTAAGGGAGTAAAGAAGGGAGAACTTTATAAAAGGGCTCAACGGGAGAGCTTCATTTTCAAATGAGTCATCTAACTTGGAAGGGAAATTATTCTGTCAGGCACTATGCAGCGTGTGTGACGGCCTCTCTGAATGAGTATACCTGGAATAGAGACAACCTTGACCCTCAGCTTCCCCAAGGCTGCATTCTTCTCTGCCAGCAGCTCTTGTTTATCACTCAGTGTTAAATCTCAACACTTTACTACCGAGTCTGGCATCTGTGCTTTTTCAGTTTTTTATGTCTGTTCTTTTCATTTTGGGTCCTCATTAGAGTCAGTGGTTCCAAAGCCACTCAGGCCCTGCCCTCGTCCCAGCAAATCCAAGTTTATAGTTCCAGAGTAGGGCCCTAGAATTTATCTTTAAAACTTTCAGAATGATTGTATCAGCAGCTTGTTTCTGGAAAACAACTGCCCGGCAGAAGACACTTCCCTCTTCTTTCTACAATGCAGGCACCAGCCAGGCAGACTAGCAGACTAGGGTCATACAGTCTCACAACCTAAGAGGAATTCAAAACATGCGCAACTATCATTCATACCAAAAGTCCTGTGCTTCCCCTGTTCCTGAGGCTATCATCAAGTGCATTTATTTTTGGTGGGGTAGTAATTTCCCCATTTTGCAGGTGGGAAATGGGAGCCCAGAGAGGTTAAATGTCTTGTCCCAGAAAGCACACAGTATATTAGAGTCAGACTTGGAACAAAATTCCAACGTTCATGCCTCCTAATGCATTTCCACCTCCAGCCCACATTTTGAGGGAAGTTCTAACAGAGCTGAGTAGATACTATAAACTATTGCTGAAAGAATAGTCTGTCTGCGAGTGGTGCCTGTGGCTCAGGGAGTAGGGCGCCTATACTGAGGGTGGCAAGTTCGAACTCGGTCCCAGCCAAATTGCAACAAAAAGTAGCCAGGTGATGTGCTGGGTGCCTGTAGTCCCAGCTACTCAGGAGGCTGAGGCAAGAGAATCACCTAAGCCCAGGAGTTAGAGTTTGCTGTGAGCTGTGTGACCCCATGGCGCTCTAATGAGGGCAACAAAGTGAGACACTGTCTCCAAAAAAAAAAAAAAAAGAATGGTGGCGAGTGGGACAGGAGGAAAGGGACCACCCACCCATGAGATCTAGAGCTTCGCTTCAGGCCTGGTGACCAGACGGATGATGCTGGGGACCCTACCATCCACTGGGGGGCCTGGACACCAGCTAACTCATAATACTGGGGTGTAATAAATTACCCTAATGAAAAGACAGATCTCTCTGTTGTTCCGACACTTCCATGTCTCCCCTCTCTGTTTTCTCACTTCGCTGCCCCATTTGAAATCTGGGGCTCTCTCAGTTTCTTAGGAAACTGATTTTCCTATCCTGCTGATCGACTCATGTCACTTCCACTTTCCTGACCTCACACGAAAACTCAGAAACTACATCTGTGAAGCCGTTGAAGGGTAATAGCCCCATGGAAATCCTTCTCATCCCACATAAAGAAAAAGGGAAACCCCCTCCTGCAACCAGGAAATCCTGTGTCTTTGCAATTAGCTGCTTTCTTATCTGTTATTCATTCTGGTAAAATCTTCCCCCCAACACACCTATTAGCAAACTGGGGCAATTTCATAATTCTCTCAGACTCAGCAAGCCCTAACTTCTGCCTGCCACACCCTTCCACACTTCCCTTTTTGTCTCATCCCCAACACTGGGCAACAATCTTGTGGGGGGTGGAGGAGTAGGTGGTGATGATAATGAGGACAGAGCCAGTGCTTACTGAGCACCCGCACTAGATGAATGCTTCCTGGCCTTGAGTTTCACACAATCTGGAGAAAATGGGCATGTGAGCCAGTGCAATGAATGGCCACCTGGACCAATAGTGTGACCGGATTGCTGCAGAAGCCTGAGGGGGATGGAGAGAAGGCAGCCACACACCTGTCTGGGGAGGAGGGGAGCAGGAAGGAGGAAGGCCCAGTATAATCTTTAAATTAGAATAACTGCCCTGAGCAAATGAATGTCACTGGAATAGCATGCACCAAAGAGGGGAAAGCAGGTTCCAAAGTGACAGACAGACCAGTGTGGCCAAAGTGCTTTTGAGAGAAGAGCTATGGAGAGTTAGTTGGGGACTGATCATGAAAAGACATGAATGCAAGGCTAAAGAGAGAGCGCTAGATCTGTGACCTGTCAACCAGGATGGAGGTTGAGATGGGGTTCCTTAGGGAAAACTGCTTTTTTCTCTCTGTTATTACTTTGTTCAAATTAAGTTCCAGCAGTGTGTCTATGCAGAAGTCTGTATTAGCCGCTGCAGCTTTTGGGTAGGACAGACTTCTGGAGAAGGAAGAACTACCAGGGAGCTAGTAAACCTGAATTATTTATGTCTGGTCAATAAATCAGTGAGGCCTGTAATAGGACCCCCCGCCTGTTTAGCTAGTTGGCTATTTTCCTTAGAATAGGAAGTGTGACTCCTGAAAAGGAAGATCATCACAGAAGTGGGAATGATGTTAGAGAGCATTCTTCTGGCAGACTGGTGTCTGAGCAAAGGGAGGCAAGGGTGGGCCGCTGTGATATCAGTAATATGTGAGTGCACTGTCGGAAAACACCCCAAAAGTGTGATTAGATTTGCTAAGGGGGGGGAACCTCTCCTGACCCCCACCACCTCTCCATGTCCATCCCTCCGAGGTAACCTCCAGGATGGTTTGTTGATTGGCCATAATGAAAGTTTTCTAGGTCACCCAACAGTATTTACAAAACTGCTGAGAAAACTTTCAGCTTTCCCCAGCTGTGAAAGTGCCAGCAGGCGCCCAGACCAGACCCTGGGTCTCACAGATGGGTTACAACTGTCTTCGCTTCACTGTTAGTGTTAACTGTATGGCCCGTAGACAGTGGCATGCACAGTGGATGGAACTTTAACAACAGCACCAGAACTGCTTTAGATGTTGCTATCTCGCTACTCTATTGCTGTAATTAGAGGATCAGTGATGCCACTGTATCAGTTCCAAGGAATGTTGCTTCGACAACATGGAATGAGAAGCTCAGAAACATCACTACCAAGTATCTTTCTCCATTCCGTAAAGGTCTTTAGATATAAAATTTCTGGTAATTTTGGAAGGGGAAGAAAAAAACTTCAAAGGGTTCTCCCCTTTATTCACCTTTATCTAGCAACAACACCAGATAAGTTTCTTTTTAAACAGTATTCCAGTATAAATACACAGATAGACAATGGATTAATCCTGAACAAATTTGCAGAGGTTTTCAAGAAGCAAATTTGGATTTTATTAGAATTACTAGCTTGTCCATTTTGGGAAATGCTTCAGAAAATTATTAGTGAAAATAGGCTTCTTTAATAAGGTTCTTATTTCAGTAAGTCTTAAGTGGCTTATGTTCTAATTATTACTGAAAGCTGTTTCTAGGTGGACTGACTCCTTGGGTAGGAAGGTATGAGGAACTGGTGAGTTGCTGCCATCTACTGGCAAATAATTGTAACAGCAGGTGGTTTTTTTAAAGCATCCCTGGACCTTTGCGGCCATTTTGCCCATGGCAATGTCCATCAGGGCAGGTGGAAAGCAGATTTGCTCATTCAAGAGTCTTACAACTTATTAACCGGGCTATTCTTAGAAAGCAAAAAATACTGTGTAAAATCATGTTTAAATGAACATAAAACAACTCAGAACTCAAAGATTATAAATGGCAACTTGAAGATGCTGAGGAAACAAGGACTCAGTTTATCATATGATATTTTTGTCTGCAAAGGCATCTTAAGAGTCATAGAGCTGGGCCAGGTGTGGTGGCTCATGCCCATAATCTTAGCACTCTATGAGGCCAAAGAGGATAGATTGCTTGAGTTTATGAGTTGGAGACCAGCCTGAGCCAAGAGTGAGACCCCTGTCTCTAAAAAATATAGCTGGTCCTTGTGGTGGATACCTATGGGTATCCCAAACTACTTGGGAGGCTGAGGCATGAGGATCTCTTGAGCCTAAGAGTTTGATGTTGCTATGAGCTGTGACACCACAGCACTCCACTGAGTGACAAAATGAGACTCTGTCTCAATAGAAATAAATTTTTAAAAAATCACAGAGCTGTTTTTGTGCCAGCTAATCAAAATTACTTCCTCTCAGGCTGCTTCAGTGAAATCACTGGGTAATCAGGGAAAGATTGTTGGTGTTTTCCTGAATCTCTGTTTTGACATTTTGAAAGTAGTAGCTTCCCATTTTTTTTTAATTATTATTTTTTGTTGTTGTTTAGACAGAGTCTCAACATGTCGCCCTCGGTAGAGTACCGTAGTGTCACAGCTCACAGCAACCTCAAACTTTTGGGCTTAAGAGATTCTCTTCCCTCAGCCTCCCAAAGAGCTGGGACCACAGGTGCCTGCTACAATGCCCGGCTATTTTTTGGTTGCAATTGTCATTGTTGTTTTTAGCTGGCCTGTGGCCAGGTTCAAACCCGCCACCCTTGGTGTATGTGGCTGGTTCTATAACTACTGTGCTACAGGCACCGAGCCAGCATCTCATTTTTTTAAATATTGAGAATCAATAAGTAAAATCACTCATGATCACTTCACCCAGTATTAAATTTTGTTAAAAGTATCATAAATATCCAACCAGCTTTTCTTGTGTATATGCTGCTTATCGGCATGTGTTTTTTTAAATAATTTTTTCTTTTTTATTACAAAATACATACTTAATTTTTTAAAAATAAAAATTATAACTTATGTCAAAGGTTTAACTTTCTCCATAATCTCACCCTACCAGTGATGATTATTTTAACAGTTTGGTATGTTCCTCTAGACTTTTTTCCTTATGGATGTACGTATGTGTAGTTGAGATCATACTCTACATGTTTTATGTCCTGCTTTTTTTTCTTTAATTGGATTTCTTATTACAAAATTTAATTGGTTATTTTCATCAAGAAATTAAAAAGTAATAAAGATGTTTGGGCCTATTTTTATTCAATTTGTTTCATTTCCTTAGTTAAAACTTTGAGTCTTTAGGTCCCTGTGAATGTAGAGGGCTTTGCTTTGTGATTGGTACAGAAACAAGTAACTAAAATCAGAAACAACTGATTAAAGCTGGAAATGGAAAAATTAGCTGTGTATGGTGGCAGACACCTGTAGTCCCAGCTCCTCAAGAGGCTGAGGCAGGAGGATCACTTGAGTGCAGGCCTTTGCAAGTGCAGTGAGCTGTGATGACACCACTAGGCTCTAACCCAGACAACAGAGTGAGATTTTTATCTCAATAAACAATAAATAAATACAGTAAAGCTGGGGTTACTAGTAAGTGACTATTGATGAGCTTAGTTCTCTCCTTTGTTATGCCTGTGCAACTTGCATGCCTTCCTCTCCACACCTCTATTCGTGTGAGGCACACAGTAGGCATTCAGATAGTGTTGAATGCTCACATGCCATTCGCTCAGCCTGGAAGTATCTGCCCTCACTTTACTGCAGTAGTATTCTGCTACTCAAATGCTACTTTCCTCCGTGAAACTATCTTATGTTAAAAGCGATAGCCTTTTTAAAAAAAATTTTAACTACAGAAGTAATACATTCTCAAGAAAATACATAATACAGAAAAAATGCAAAGAACTCCTTTTGCTCTCTGCATTGCTATTCCCCTCTGTATCAGTTTGCTGTGTCTTTTTATATGGATGATACCTCTTTAATGAATATTAGATGGTATGTGCTCAATAAACAGTATTATCTTACTCCTGGATATACAGTCATTACTATGTATTAAACACCTACTATGTGTTGGATGCCATCTGTTGTGCTTACAAATGTTTCTGTGGACACTGTTATTCCTATTTTAAAGGTAAAGAAATGGGGTAAAATAAATTCTCTAGAGTAGGCTAACTTGTAGATAAGACAGAAATCAACCTTGGTTTAGCTCCATCTTACTGTCTGCAGGTCCTTGGACACGGGAGCTTTGTCTGTTTTGTTCCTGTGGGCTTTAACCATATTGTGTTCTATGTTATAGGTATCTATAAAATCTTTCTTTCTTTTTTTTTGAGAAAGAGTCTCACTATGTTACCCTCAGTAGAATGCTATGATGTCACAGCTCACAGCAATCTCAAACTCTTGGGCGTAAGCAATTCTCTTGCCTCAGCCTCCCAAGTAGCTGGGACTACAAGTGTCTGCCACAACGCCCAACTATTTTTTGTTGCAGTTATCATTGTTGTTTAGCTGGCCCAGGCCAGGTTCAAACCTGCCAGCTTGGGTGTATGTGGTTGGCCCCGTAACCACTGTGCTGTGGGCGCCAAGCCCATAAAATCTTTCTTAATTTCCAAATTATTACCCCAGTGCCTAGCCTAGACCTTCATACATGGTGGGCTTTCAACAAATACTTACAGAAAAAAAGAAAAAAACTTATCAAACCCTGGGTTCCTGAGATGTTCAAGATAGTGGCCATCTAGTATGACAAGACTGTCTTTGCTGATGCACCAGAGAGAGATCATCCTGGATCTGAGATTGAGCAGACCCAGTTAGAAATGACGTGCTGGGTGGTATAGTAGAAGAAAAGTCACATCTTCATTTTGAGGGTGTAGGTTATTGTCATTTGGTCAGTTGGCTTGATTTTATTTGGTTTCTTAATCACTGGTTTTGTGTAAATGATCATCCATTTTCAGGCATTTCATACCACAGTAGATGGTGGTAGCAGGATGAGGAAAACAGAGGGAAAACGAGGACTCTTAATTCAATTGGGAGGTACTTAAAAATAAAACTCTTGGCTCAGCACCTGTGGCTCAAGCAGCTAAGGCGCCAGCCACATACACCTAAGGTGGCGGGTTCAAATCCCCAGCCCGGGCCCGCCAAGCAACAATGACGGCTGCAACCAAAAAATGGCCAGGCGTTGTGGCAGGCGCCTGTAGTCCCAGCTACTTGGGAGGCTGAGGCAGGAGACTTGCTTGAGCCCAGGAGTTGGAGGTTGCTGTGCGCTGTGATGCCATGGCACTCTACCCAGGGGGATAGCTTGAGGCTCTGTCTCAAAAAAATAAAAAATAAAATAAAAACTCTTGGGACAGAAAAAAAAAAAGAGATCAGTTTATTTTCTTGGAGATATATTGGGTAAATAAATGAATATATCTTTCTGATCCTGGAATCTGGCTGGACCGTAAGTTGTCCAAAGGCACACGAGCACCAGCTCCCATTTGCACAGCCTTTCCTGCCTTGGAATCCACCTCTTCCCTCACCCCATCAGAGAGTATCCTCTCGAGCTATGATAGAAGGAATTCCAAAAAAAGCTGTTCCCCATGGATGGACCCCCAAAGGGGGTGAGTTGCACAAAGGTCCGACACTTTACTTGAGTTTTTAAATGTATATCTGGAGGTTTGGATGTATAAGGAGGGGAGATGCCTTCTGCACCTCATTTCCCAATGCTTGCTTGCAGGTCTGGCTGGCTTTGCTCGCCTCTGTCCTGGAGATCAGTATGAGGTGAGTATTGTCTTGGTCCATGTGTTAGAATTGAGAACTTGAAGGGCAGGAGCCAGTTGTCATTATTTTGCTTCTTAAGTTGTCTTGTTTCATTTGTTAATTTTGAATTTTGAAAAACATTTTACGCCATTGAGAAAGTTTGGAGATTGATAGCGATCGAAGACTTCCACATACCTTTGATCTGGATTCAGCACCACTTTTTAACACTATGCCACATTTGCTTTATTATTATTACTATTGTTGTTGTTACTTTGCTGAACCTTCTTACAGCAAAATGCAGAGAACTTGACCTTTCCTCCCCAAATTCTTCTCCTATGAATGAAAGGACGTTCTCTCCCGTAAGATTGCACAGTCCCCCACACCAGTGAGCCTAACATTGGCACTTTAGCTAATGTCACCTGATAGTCTATGTTCATATTTTTCCAGTATCCCAATTCTGTAGCACATTTTTTTTCCCCTAATCTAAGATCCAATCCAGAATCATGAGTGAAAAATAATAACATCTAGATCTTTCTTTATAAAAGATACACTCCATAAAGCCTTTGATCTTTTCCTCCTTCAAAAAGGAACTTACATGATAACTTCATCTGATGTCTCCTTCAAAACCTCCTATAATCATATCTCTTGGGAGTGGTGAACATTAAAGCTGTCTGCCCCCAAGGAGACTGCACACCTTCTCCCCAGAGTAGGTTGGATAAGAAGTCCTTGTCCAGCCCCATCTCCCTAATTCAGAAGAAGGATATCTCTCTTCCTTGCTTCTGGCTGCTAAGTAGTTTTTAGTCAATGTTTTTTTGTTCGTTTGTTTATTCTTCTGGGTTTTTGACTTTTTTTGAGACAGAGTCTCATTCTATTGCCCCAGACTAGACAGCCATGGTGTCACAGCTCACAGCAACCTCAAACTCCTGGGATCAGGCGATTCTCCTGCCTCAGCCTCCCATATAGTTGGGATTAGCCCAGCTAATTTTTCTATTTTTAGTAGCAGTGGGTCTTGATCAGGCTGGTTTCAAACTCCTGAACACAAGCAATACTCCGGCCTTGAGCTCCTGGAGTTATGGATTACAGGCATGAGACACTGCGGCAGGCCTTTAGCTGATGATTTCTTATCTCTCAAAAGGAGATGGGGCATGTGGAGAATTAATCCTAATGGCTGCTCTATTGATATGGAACTAACAAGCAAGAGAACTGTTTGACATGAGTGAACAGAAGGGCACAGAGCGGTGACCTTTTACTAATGAAACCTTCCACCCGTCTGTGTTAGAGAAGCAGAACTTACTCCCTTAAAAAAATCTCTTTCTCTCTCAATCATCATCTCTGCCAAGACCCAGAAGTAAGAGGGTAGAGGGAGAGGCTGGAGAAGGAGAAGACTGGCAGTCACATGTGTCCTTGCCTTTCGACCTTGGTGTTGGGGGCGAAGGGGTGGTCAGTGGGCCATGAGGGCTGTTGGATGTCTCCCCGCCAGATTTTCATGAAGTACGGCCGGCAGAGGTGGAAACTGAAAGGCAAGATAGAAGTAAATGGCAAGCAGAGCTGGGACGGAGAAGAAACGGTTTTCCTGCCCCTGATAGTCGGGTTCATTTCCATCAAGGTACAGTACTGTCACTCCCTTCAGTCATCACTCCTGGGGCCATGGTTGGGTGATCTGTGGTGGGGGACTTTACCTGAGGTCTCTGCCTGCCACGCCTCTGTCCTACAGATTTCTCTGCGATCCACCACAAAGACAGCTGCTGTCATGTCAGAGTGGACAAAAGACTATGTAACATGAGCTTCTGAACTGTCCACCTCTGATTTCAGATATGATTCTGAAAGAAATGACAAAACTGGCTTAGAAAAAAAAGAAAAAGAACCCTAAGAGTATCCCTCCTTTCTCCTCCGCTGTGATGTGAGGCCTTTCCCCCCTCTCCGTCTCTGCTAGGTCACGGAGCTCAAAGGGCTGGCAACACACATCCTGGTAGGCAGCGTCACCTGCGAGACCAAAGAGCTATTTGCAGCCCGACCTCAGGTGGTGGCTGTCGACATCAATGACCTTGGCACCATCAAACTGAACTTGGAGATCACCTGGTAGTAAGTTGCCATTTTTTTTTTTACTCCATTGTGTGAAAATATGTGCTACAGGCTAGTGCTCCTTCAAGCTGGGACACAGACCATCAGCAGCACCCAGGAGCTTGTTAGGAAGGCAGAATCTCAGGTGCTACCCTAGACCCAGTGTGGCGGAATCTCTCAGACACAAGAAACTGTTAATGGCCTCACCAGGTGATAGGCACACAAGCAAGGATTGGACAAGCCTGGGTCAGTTCACTCTCTTCTTTTTATTTTAAATTATTTTATCATGCCTCCTTCTCTCCCTACATTTAAATACATAAAGAAATATGTCTTCTCAAGTAAACTAATCTGAAAAAAGCTAACTGTTCAATAGGCGATATCTTCCCCACAGAAAGCTCCTGATCCTTGCTGTGATGCTTTGAATGCTTACCCCACTTTATCTTATATGTATATGGCACATTGCTCTGCAAAATTACGAATATTCTTAGTTCCTCCACACTCTATTTACTGAAATAAAGTATTTCCGAAGGGCAAGAGATATCATTTGTCAAAGCAGTGAACTTAAAAGTGTTTTTCCAAAGTCCCCCTGTGAGAAAGGTTGTGATAAGCCGTTAACACTGGTAGTTCACATTTGGTATGATTTCCCTGGTACGCAGCCAAGTAAATATGACGTGTTGAGTTCAGAGTCTCCTTTACAATGCAGAGTCAGGTGTGAGAGGAGCAAAGATGCTGTCGCTTTGTCATTGAAACAGCATCAGATCAGAGCCCTTTGCCCAGCCCTTCCCTCCTCATAGTCTGTGGTCATTGACGTCTCAGATGCAAGATCATTCTTCTTGCTGGATGAATTGGATACCGTGATGATAAGTGGCATCATTGTGAGCAGACGGTCTCCTCTCAATCACAAGAGGCTCTGTGTCAACTGAAATGAATGGGATTCTATTTTGAGTGTTTTCTTTAGAACTGAACAATAGTCTGTTTATCTCTTATGTTGTTATAAGTGTTTAGTCCTACAAAGCTCAAAGAAATTTTCACAGACTTTTTCAACATTTTGTTTTGTTGGTCAAGCATTAATACATTTATGTTTCTAATATCAGTGAGGAAACAGACACACCAGGTGTACTGATAAATTATGCTTAAAGCTGTGATAATGGTCAGGGCTCCCTTGCGTGGGTCTAGACTCAGTTTTCTGTTCTACTTTCTTTTATCTGAGTTTATTTTCTGACATACCAATTTAGCCCAAACCAGCCCAGTTCCCGCTGGTGTGAGTTTGTTTACTTTAGTATGAGGAGCTCCCTTGGCCTGCGGTCCAAATAGGTGATTTTTAACAAACGCGCACACACGGAGCCCTGTTGTTTTGCAGTCCGTTTGATGTGGAGGACACGACCCCATCCTCAGGCGCTGGGAACAAGGCAGCAGCCCTGCAAAGGAGAATGTCCATGTACAGCCAGGGGACCCCGGAGACGCCCACCTTCAAAGACCACTCCTTCTTTGTAAGTTCAGTGTGATTTCTGGAGTAGTAGCCATGAGCCCGAGCCACTGCTTGCCCCTAGTATTTGAAATGCTTCCCAGACGGTGTCAGGGAGTCTCCGTAATTCCATCAGAGGTGGGGGGCCTCCTCTGTCTTTCCTCTCCCTGCACCCACTAGTGCTTTGATGGTAACTTGTAGACTTTTTCCAACATTCTCTAAGACCAGCCTTTTAAAGAAGTGGCTGTAAATAATGGCCTGCTTATTTTAATCAGAAATGCTTGCTAATCAGCTAATGGCACATGATAACCTGATTCTTGCTTTGACTTCTGAAGCGGTGGCTGCATCCTTCCCCAGACAAGCCGCGGCGGCTGTCTGTCTTGAGTGCCTTGCAAGACACTTTCCTTGCCAAGCTGCATCGCAGCCGCTCTTTCAGTGACCTGCCCTCCCTCAGGCTGAGGCCCAAGGCCGTGCTAGAGTTTTATGTGAGTGTGGCCTGCCCGGTGTGGCGTGCTTGACTTCAGCAGCTTGGGGCCTGTGTATTTCAGCATGTCTCTCATTTCGTCTTCTCTGTCTTGCACGCGGGGTAATGATCACAGCTGTCCTGTGCTCGGTGTGGGCAACTCGACCGTGCATGCCGCTTTGTTAGGGAGGTGGTTTGACGTTCTCTTTTAATGATCTCTGTTTGTGCTGTGACTTTTCTCCATTGTGGCAAAGATATCCATGGTAACAAGAGTTTTCATTTTTAAAAACTACATTTACACTTAAGGCCAAACAAGATTTTATTTCAGAAGGTAAATCAGATTAAGGCTTTCAAAAACTAGCGTTCAAGGAACGCAGAAGCATTTCAACCAATTTTTACTAGAGCTATTTCTGTTTGAAGAGGCTCTCAGTCTTAGTTTATTGTAGTGTTTGTTAATTTTATAATACCTTGGTAAAAGAAACCCTTAATTCAAAGGAACATAATAGGTAACCTACACTGTATGTACACATTGTCTCACCAGAGAATATACTGCATAGCCTGTTCTTCCCAGAGTGTAGTAATCTTGAATGTTCAGCAAGGAAAGGACGTAAGTCTTCTAGTAAATAATACTTGCATCTTATTCACTAAATTAAAAAGTGCAGGTGGAAAGGACCAGGCTAAACTCTAACAGAATTTCAAATTTCAAATAGAATTCATGCTCATATGCTGCAAGTTGGAGGGCTGTAGGGGAGAGTCAGTAGAAGTTTAATAGCATAATTTAAATAAGATTAGAAAAAACCTTGATGGTTTCCGATAGCCTTCTGGGTCAACACAAAGGTCCTCAGAGTGGTCGCCCCCACCCAGGCACAGCCCAGCACAGGCCTGTCTCTCACCTTTCCACCCTTTGTCCTCTGCTCTGGCCCCTCTGAGCTTCTCAGTGTCTTCCAAAGGCACCACATGCTGTCAGGACCTTATGTCTTTGCAGACATTGTTCTTTCTAGGATGCACTTCTTCCTCCTCCTCCTCTTCCTCCTGGCCTCTGCCTCATGCTCCCCCAAGGCTGAGCTCCAGGATTAGTTCTGTCTAGGGCAGCAGCTCTCCCTGGATAGCCCCCCACACACATTACCCTCCCTTATAGAACATAGGCCATTCCACTCCTCCGGCAGGACGCCTCAATTTATTCTAAATCAATATTTGCCACTTAAGTAGATACAGCTAGGTTTGGAAATCAGAACTTGAGAGACATCGTTGAGGAGGACTTTGCAAATTCAGTCCCCCTGCCTCCCATCAATGCCTCCTCCTCGCTTTCAGGGCTGCTGTGAGACTCAGGGCCAGGATATCAGATAAGGCTGGGCAGGACCACCTGGAGGACCCATGGGTTCTGGGAGATGCCTGAGGGACCCCCACAGAGGAGGTGCAGGGAGTGGGACTCCAGGCCTTGCCCTATCTCTCCCCAACAGCTCCCCCTTGGATCTCTCCTAGAGGCATAAGCTGTAGGGCAGTTCAACCTTTTTTATCTCACAGCACACTTGAACCTGTAGTTAAACTTCCACAGCACACTTAAATTATGTTGATCCAAAAAAAAAGAGTAAAATAAAGAATATACTTGTTGTGCTTTGAACTTCTTTCAAAAATAATTTAATTAATGATCTTTAAAAATTTCTAAGACTCTAATATAAAAGCAACAGATGATCTAATACAAGGGATGGGATGGGGGATGAGGGATGGGGGCTCACAGTGTATGGCACACCTCTTGGGAGCAGGACACAATTGTAATTGTGAGGGAGGGGATTTTATCTAACAACCACAATCATGTAACCTAATTCTTTGTACCCTCAATGAATCCCCCTTGAGGTGTGCTCCGAGGCACACCTAAAATATCCTCTTGGAGCATACCTGTGTGCTGCAGCACACCATTTGAAATCACTGCTTTAGGGGGAGGGTGTGCAAATAGAGGAGGGAGGAAAGTAAAATAAACAAGCTGGAGGAAAAGAAGAGGAGCACCAGGACCCCCTGCCTCCAGGGCTTTGAGAACAGTTTTATAATCACTAACAGAAGGAACCATCCTTAGGCTGAGAGGTCAAGAGACTGAGCTTGTAGAAATTACTTGAGTATCCCAGCGACTTGTCATTTTACTTGTCCTGCAGTTCAGGCAAATCACCTTCCCACCAGATTAGACAGTTGAGATGGAGCTACCTGCACGTGTGGCCTCAGATCCAGCAGCAGTGGGACCCAGGACACAGCTGGAGGAGGGCACCGAGACTCTGTCTCTCTGATCGTACCCCATTCACTTACTGTAGCATTTTTGTGTGCTAGGCTTATTCCCAGCTCTGTTATGAGAATTCATCAACTATTTATAATTCTAGTAGGCATTAGCTTGATACTTACCATTTCCTTTAAAAATCTAATCTGGGCCAAGCAGGATGGCTCACACCTGGAATCTCAGCATTTTGGGAGGCTGAGGTGGGAGGATCGCTTGAGGCCAAGAGTTCCAGACCACCCTAGCAACCTAGCAAGACCTGTGCGCTACACAAAATAAGAAAAATTAGCTAGGCATGGTAGTGCATGCCTGTAGTCCCAGCTACTCAGGAGGCTAAGGCAGGAGAAAAAAACATAATAATCTGGAATCCAAGAAAAATGAACTATTTTGATGGAGTTAATCTCAAATAACTAGATAACCATTTTCACCAAGCAACATTTGGCATTTAGACATTATACACAGTGCAAGGAAAGCTGACTTCAAAATTGTAAAGCCAGAATAAACCCATGATCTTGGTTACCTGGATATTTCTGACCCCTCCCTTCAGAGTTCTGCTTCATGAAGCACAGTGTGTACCTGGGACACAGCGCGGGTCTGCTGGACAGGGGACTCTGTTTCCAGATCCACTGCGAGCCCCAGGGTTTGCCTCCTGGAAGACAGATGTTCCATGTATTAGCCTTTTTCTATTCCTATAAATGTATTTCTGGCCTTGAATTATATATGGCCTGGTTACTAAATTAATAAAACATTTTCAAGAGCTTGGGATTTATAGGTAGACATTTTCCAAAAAATAAGTAACTGAAGCAGAACAAAACATTCTATCTTTGCAGTGAAACAGCATGAATGTTAGAAAGTCTTTAAAGATAGATGCTAAAAAGAAAAGACAAAAAAGAAAAAATCCATAGTACTATTCATAACTATGGCTGCCAAATATTATGAGATCCTGGGATGTAGAAAACAAGCACCATCCTCACCCACCCAGACTTTTCTTTCGAGAAACATCAAACCTAAGAATAGTACCATGAACTTTCGCCTAGATTCAACAAGGGAAATAGTTTTTAATGGCTTGTTTTCTTTTGCCAGCCAAACACACACAGATAGAAATCAAGAAATAAAATGCTAATACTACAAAAATTTGGCTTTTGCATTTTAGTCACTTTATATCCCAAGTGGAATTAAACCCCACCCAATGCATCATTTGTATCAAATATAATAACAAAGTACTTTTCACCCACAGTCAAACCTGCCTGATGACATCTTTGAGGATGGAAAGGCAGCCGAAGAGAAAATGCCACTCTCTCTCAGCTTCAGCGACCTGCCCAATGGGGACTGCACCCTCATCTCCAACTCAACCAATCCAGAAATTACCATCACCCCTGCAGAGCTCCACCACAGCAACCTGTCCCCCCAGAGTGAGGGTAGGGATGATACCAGCTTGCCCTCTTCCAGGAACTCCTTGGGAGAAGGCCAGGAGCCCAAGTCACACCTGCAGGGGGAAGACCGGGAAGAGCCTGGGAAACGGGCCTCGGCCACTTCTGAGCCTTGCCGGCGGCAGTCTGCAGGCGCCGGGGCCGAGCACCTGTTCCTTGAGAAAGATGTAGCGGAGGCACTTCTGCGAGAGTCTGATGAGGCCTCTGAACTCAAGCCCGTGGAACTGGACACTTTTGAGGGAAACATCACAAAGCAGCTGGTCAAGAGGCTCACCTCGGCAGAGGTGCCAGTGGCCACAGAGAGGCTGCTCTTTGAGGGCTCTGTCAGTGGAGAGTCTGAAGGCTGTAGATCCTTTCTAGATGGAAGCTTAGAGGATGCCTTTAATGGGCTTTTCCTTGCATTAGAACCACATAAAGAGCAATACAAAGAGTTTCAGGATCTGAACCAAGAAGTCATGCATTTGGATGATATTCTAAAAGTAAGTATGTCTTCAGAAAATTTGGATTAGGTTTGGAAAGAGGTGTCCTAAACCAGCATTCTATTTAAGACAGCATATCTTTTTTTAAAAAATCCTGTCCAATCACAGGATCAATAGATAATCATTTAAATGGCATTGATTTGAAGCTGGACTCCATGGCTCATGCCTGTAATCCTAGCACTTTGGGAGGCTGAGATGGGTGAATTGCTTGAACTCAGGAATTCGAGACCAACCTGAGCAAGAGCGAGACTCCGTCTCTACTAAAAATGGAAAAAAAAACTAGCCAAGTGTTGTGGTGAATGAGTGCCTATAGTTCCAATTACTCAGGAGGCTGAGGCAAGAGGCTCACTTGAGCCCATGAGTTTGAGATTGCTGTGAGCTATGATGTCACAGCACTCAACCAGGGCAACAGAGTGAAACTCTGTCTCAAAAAATAAATAGCATTGATTTTTATAACAATAGTACATGTTAATTTATGTTTTCCTGACAGCAGATTACTAACTACATTGGTTAGGACTTATATTAATAGCTCTAAAGATTTCCTCCAGTCCCAGAGTTAATCATTCCAATCCCAAATGTGAAATGGTTGCACTTTGATCACAGCCTCACAGATGTCACTGAGTAGACTCATTCTCAGGGTACAATGAAAGCAGAGCTCCCCTTTCCTGATGGAGTCAGAGAGCCAGTGTGAGAGTCAAGGGCATCCTTCTCCCCTTCTTGCCCCACCCTCCATCCCCACATCGCACTGCCTGCTTGGAGGATTCCCTTCTGGATTTAGCCCAAATCAGGAAGTCAGAATCTCTGCATAATCACCAGCAAATAATCATTGATTCTGCTCTTGCAGCCTCCACCAGAGATATCTGCCTCAATCTTTGGTGATCAGATAGCCCAGGTAGAGGTGGGAAGGTAGCACGAGAGGGATGATTTCCTCTAAAGCAGGCGGTCCTAATAATGAGCTCATAGTGCTCCATCAGAAGGCATTTGTCTTCCCCTGACATCCGGATTAAATTTTTTAAAAACAATGCACATGGCCAAGCACAGTGACTCACACCTCTAATCCCAGCATTCTGGGAGGCCAAGGCTATAGGATCACTTGAGGCCAAAAGTTCAAGACCAGCCTGAGCGACATAGCAAGACCCCATCTCTACAAAAAAATTAAATATTAACCAGGTATAGTGGCACATGCCTGTAGTCTTAGCTACTCCAGAGGCTGTGACAAGAGGATCACTTGAGCCCAGGAGTTCAGGGTGACAGTCAGTAATGATCATGCCACTGTGCTCCAGCTTGAGCAACAAAGTGAGACCCAGCCAGTTAAATAAAAGCAAAAAGAAAACTGCACGAGAAGACAGAGCTTGGATCTTTGTCTCTAATCTTACTATCACTTCTTGTATTCATTGCTTTGCCACTCTGATTTATATTGGTATAAAGGAGAGCCTGGATCTTTCTCTTGAAAGAGTAATTCTTTAGGGGACCTGGTTTATGAAAAGGCTTGAGAGTCAGCTTGCAGTGGCAAGCTGAGAACCAACCCACGGAAGGCTGTTGCAGCTCTTTGTGGGACAGTTTTAAGATGTGGCCTTCCCACAGGCATCTGAAACTACATTTCCAAGGCTTTTCTGACCATCCTATCTCTCTCTATTCATGCTGACCTAGCTGTAGAGGAGATTTGTGCCCAAGGCAGATGATAATTCAGTCTCTGGCTCTCCAGGTCCTCAAATGCTCATGACAGATTAGTTCAGCTGTGGGAATAGCCTCCAAGAAGCAGGGAAGGGCACTCTGAATCTGCTGTCTTTAAAGTGTAGTTCAAAAGCATCAGCTCAAGGCGGAGCCTGGAGGCTGCTTATCTGGTACTCCACTGAGCATCCATCTTTTCTGCATGGTTGACTAGCTTTGCTTTGGGGGTCAAAGGTATTCATGTCAGAGAGTGGAGACACAAATTGACCCCATGTGAAGTGAGTGGCTTATAGAAAGAAGGCCAGTAGTGATGGCAACTCCCATTCCAGGCCTCTAGGATGTGGACACATAGCTCAATCCCCTAGGAAACACTAAGCACATCATCTGTTAGTCTTATAAAGGCCAGGTAGGCACAGACTTCTTTCCAGAGTGTTATTTCGGTCTATTGCTGTTCCAAAACTATCATGCTATTAAAATCTCCAACTACCCTTTATTTTTGTTATGACCAATTTTTAAGCACGCCCACATTGTACAGGATCAAGTCATGCAGATAGCTAGCTTAGGAAAGAGGACCCTAGAAGTGGGTTAAGTCTAGACTGGCTCCCTCTCTCCCCCTGAGGTTGAAAACATCATGAGAGTTTAGGTCTGGGGCAAATGGCTTTGCAGCCAGCCAGAATTAAAGCATCGGCTGGACAAAGCTCTCTCTTTTTCTCCCCCCTCCTTCACATTCCTAGGATGCTAAACATCTTGAGGATCAGAAACTAAATGATGCTGCCTCTTGGACGGAGATCACTGAGGGTGAATGACACAACTGTGATTTAAAAGACTGAAAGACGTTTTCCCATGTGCTTTTGTGCCATCTTGAGTGTCAGAGACAAATCCCCACGAGGCCCTTCCTACCTTGTATTAAGAAGTCAGCAAGGAGTGCCACCTAACCGGATGGAGGACATTTAGTGCTTCTTTCTTGCAGGACTTGTCCCGTTCAATCTGCCCCAGCATCCTCTTGAATACTTGGAAATACTTCTCTTTGCTCTGTGCCCATAGCAGTTGGCATTGTTCTGTTTCTAAAGTTTCGGCTTATGCCCGGCGTTATAGAGTGCTCTGGGCCATAGAAGGGGCTTGCTCCTGTAATTCCAGGGCCTGGTCAGAAGTGAGGGAACTTGTTGCTTTCAACATAGAACTCCAGAGAAAGTAGGGCTACTTCTTGTCATGTCAAACCATTCATTTTTTTCCTTGATACCAAAAGGAAAAATTACAAGCTGTGACAATAACATTAAAATGTAGGACTTCTTACCTAGAACGCCTGGGCGAGGTAAATTTGAGCCGTTTTCCTCTTCTGTGATTTCTTCTGTTCGTCCTTTAAGCAGGCGCCTTAGATAGCTAGCACCTGTCTCGGGACACTGATGATGTTGCCACTTGGGATTAGAGACTGGCTAGTACCAACCCTGTTGGTCTTTTATTTAAGGATGAGAAGTAAGCAGAGGAAATACAGCATTTCTGTTTCTCAAGGTTTTGTGGTTTCCACTTAACTTTCTGTTGTAAAAATTCTAAACAGAAGGAGAAAACCTCCCCTAATGGATCCAAAGGTGCCATCCCTTAACTCGCACAGTGATCACTCTGTGGCCAATCTCGTTCCATCTATTTTTCTACCTACTTCCCTCTGGATTGTTTTGAAACAAATCCCAGATATTGTGCCATTTTCTCCCTGATTGTACCCCCCCCCTTGGATATAAAGATTTTTTAAATGCCTTTTTAATGCCAAAAAATAAAGAAATAAAAGCTTGGAAAAAAAAAAAAAGAAACTCTTGCCTTTGCAACCGTGTGTGGCGCGTCCTCGTCCTGCCGAATGTGTTGACGTTCTCCCCGGTGCCTTCTGCCTTTGCAGTGCAAGCCAGCAGTCAGCCGCAGCAGGTCCTCCAGTTTAAGTCTTACAGTTGAAAGTGCTTTAGAAAGTTTTGATTTCCTGAACACTTCTGATTTTGACGAGGAGGAAGAGGATGGTGATGAGGTTTGTAATGTTGGAGGAGGTGCTGACTCAGTCTTTTCAGACACGGAGATGGAGAAAAATAGGTAAGTTTGAAGTTAGTGTCTGCTCGTACTTCTCCTGTCGTAGCTGGTCCAGTAGTTCCTTGTAACTATCAGAGGGGACAGAGTACGCATCTCCAGGGAAGATCAAACTCCCTGTGTGAGTGACCAACTGGCTTTGATGCCATCAAGAACAATTTCTAAAGGAATTGCTTAAAGGAAAAAAAGCTTCTTTTGTTCCTTGTAAAGGAAGGGGACATTTTTGTATGTGTGTTTATGCATCCATCTTATAGGGTTCAATGTCTATATCTGGACCCCATGTAATTAATGCTAAATTAACTGGGTGGGCTGGGTGCCCATAGCTCAGTGGTGAGAGCGCTGGCCACATGCCCCAGGGCTAGTGGGTTCTAACCCAGCCCAGGCCTGCTAAACAAAAAATTAATTAATTAATTAACTAATTAATTAATTAAGTGGGTATACAGTGTTTCTGGAGAACTCCTACTGGATGTAAATTTGGACCTGGTTCTCCTCGGTCGTTGTTTTGTGGAGTTTTGCTTTCCTTATCCCTTCACCTGTTTCTTGGTCGGCTTCAGCCCAGTGAGTCTTTGCATGAGATTAAGCTCATCGATGCACATGTCAAAGCCAGGCGTGAGTCCCACAGTGCATATTTTCCTAGAATGTAAGAAGTGATGATGATGACTGCCACCGCCTCTACAGCCCTCTAGGTGAAGCATGTGACCTCCTTGGTAGGGGGCACTGAAGGTGAAATATTGTCACCATCTCCATCAGGCATCCTTGGGTAGTCAAATCAGACTTCTAGAGCTAAAACCTGGAGGCCATTTTGTGATTACAGATGAAGCAAAACAAGCACAGTGAAACATACTCACCTCCATCAGTTGGTTCAAATGAATATACACACACTTTCCCAAAGGAAAACATAGCATGCACCCATCTTTACCGTTGGCACAGTGTGACATAAACAGGTTTTCTTTCTCATTACAGCAGTTACGACGATGCATCCTTCACAAATTCTCTGTGAGAGATGTTATTGTTTTTAGTTTGTGTTGTTCCTAGAGAGTTTCCTCTTCCAAAATAGAACCGGGGGGGGGGGGATGAAAACTAGAATTTACCCCTTAAACAAACGGATAATTTAACAAAGAAAATTTATGAAATGAATGTAATGCTTACGTTATACTTCCACATTCTACACTGAGATTTTTCTAGCTGGCTTGAGTCTGAGAAGTGATTCTTGGCCCAGAACTGTTCTGTATTCTTGTTAACTTAAGCCATTACATGATACAGCCAGGTCAGGCATCCATTTAAACTCTTTCTCTTCTTGAGGCAAGAAACAGGTACACAGCAAAAATACCACAGCTTTAATACATTTTACAGAACATTGCTATGCATAGTTCTAATTCAGTCGTATTCTGTGACATCAGAGGCATTAGGGAAAAGTGTGTCTGTCTTTTTAAAATATGTGTTGACTGCCAGCACACAAGCTGAGTGTTTTCCCTTTGAAGGAAAATGGGAATCAGAATAGAGCATTGGAAGCCTCTAAACTCTGGTGAATGATCTTTTTAAATTGTAGCCACTGGGCAGTGGGAGGCTAGAAGCCAAAAGCTGCCCTATCCCAGCTAGCTGTGTGCCAGGACTGCTCGTTACCATGCCTGCTAGTCGTGTGAAATGAGACTACAAATCTCTCCCTCCCTCGCACACAGATTTAAGAATAATATTAGAAAATGTATGCATCAGCTTTTTAAAATGTAAATGCCCATTATGATATAACTTTAGGCAGTTTCAACAGTGGGATTTAAATAAAACAGGAGAGGCAGAACCTCTCCTGCCTCTAAATAAATGTTCATACAGTCCTTTTAACTTTTGTCCAGATAGAACAGTCTCTTTTCTTGGCAGCTTTCCTTTTTCTGTTCTTCAAGTAGCAATTGATCTGAAGCCAGGAAAACGCCCTGACAGATTAGTTCTTAATGGTATTGCCCTTGGGAAACCACAAATACAGAGGACAGTTTAATCCCAGAAAATTTGGCAGATCACTCTGTCAACAGAGCAGGAAAGTGCAACAAAAGCAAACTGAGGGCACATTCACAGCTTTCTTGGTGAACTACTTCATAAATGGTTCATTGTGCGTGAGAAGCAAACAGAGAATTCTGGAAGCAATTTGTTTGCATGGTCTTGTAACACTAGGTAAATTGGCAACCAGGCTGAGTTAAATCATTTTGGAAAGGTATCTCTATTTTTTGAGGTAGGGAAGTGAAACACTATTTCCAGCAGGAGCTCTGAGGGCCTGACATGATCCACGTTGAGTTGACCTGCAGTTTGTACACAGAAATAGCTAATGTTTTGCCCACCTTCCTGCTTCAACAGTTATAGGTCAGTTCACCCAGAAGCCAGGGGGCACCTTAGTGAAGCGCTGACCGAAGACACGGGAGTTGGGACCAGTGTGGCAGGAAGCCCCCTCCCACTGACCACAGGAAACGAGAGCCTGGACATCACCATTGTCAGGCACCTGCAGTACTGCACCCAGCTTGTTCAGGTAGGATCAGAGATGACATTTGTGTTTGAGAATCCAGGTTGTTTACGTACAAGAAAGTATGCTTTCGTCTTTTGGGTTTGCCAGGGAAGTAAGAATTCAGGACTAAGAAACAGTTTTGCTTTGGGTTGTGATAACTCAAAAACTCTGGGATTTTCAACTTAAAATCTAGCTCTCCAGACCTTAAAAGGTAGTAGGTGGAAGGTGGCTAGCTCTCATTTTTGACTAATTTGGTAGTAGATGAGAGTAATTTAAGAAATTTTGTTGTTCTTCTTTGTTTTTTGTTTTTTAAGACAGATTCTTACTCTGTTGCCCTGGGTTGAGCGCTATGGCGTCATAACTCAGAGCAACCTCAAACTCCTGTGCTCAAGCGATCCCCTTGCCTCAGCCTCCTGAATAGCTGGGATTGCAGGCATCTGCCACAACACTCAGCTAGTTTTTCTATTTTTAGTTGAGACAAGGCCTCATTCTAACTCAGGCTCGTCTTCAACTCCTGAACTCAAGCAATCTACGCCTATAATCCTAGCCCTCTGGGAGGCCAAGGCAGCTTGATTGCCTAAGTTTGGGAGTTCGAGACCAGCCTGAGCTAGAGCAAGACCCCGTCTCTTAAAATAGCCAGGTGTTGTGGCGGGCACCTATAATCCCAGCTACTCATCAGGAATCAGGAGGCTAAGGCAAGAGACTGACTTGAGCCCAAGAGTTTGAGGTTGCTGTGAGCTGTGACGCCATGGCACTCTACCCAGGGGGACAAAGTAAGATTCTGTCTCAAAAAAATAAATAAATAAATAAATAAATACTAAAATAAAATAAGTCTTTTTCTGTTTATACATCAAGACACAGCCTAAATCTGCCCTTCAGGTTTCAAAGAGGGGGGGATCAAATTTACATATAAGGGAAGACAGCTGCACAGCAATGTCGCCGCTCTACTACTGAGAAAATTCCAGAATTTATGCAGGCATGAAAACATTACAAACTAAAACATGTCTGATTTCATTAGATGTTGTCACTGCCATGGAATGAGGAACATCGTCAAGCTGGCATAAAAACGCTGTAGGAGTTTGTTTTGCATCATCGCCACAGGCGGGAAGGCTGGGTAGGGAAAGTTCTATTGACAACAACATAATTAAAACTGTGGTTTTGTTTGTTTTATCAGCAAATTGTTTTCTCAAGCAAAACCCCATTTGTGGCAAGAAATCTCTTAGAGAAACTTTCTAGGCAGATCCAGGTGATGGAGAAACTCGCAGCTGTCAGTGATGAGAACATAGGAAATATCAGTTCTGTGGTGGAAGGTAAGTATCTGCCAGTTACACCCACGTACATGTAAAGGATGACACCGCCAGCCCAGTCTGTTGCCTGGAACTGTTCACTGTGTTGTCAGAAAAACAGAAAAGCATTCTTAGGCCAGGGACTAGAGCAGCGGTTCTCAACCTGGGGGTTGCGACCCCTTGGGGGGGTCGAACAACCTTTTTACAGGGGTCGCCTAAGACCATCCTGCATATCAGATATTTACATTATGACTCATAACAGTAGCAAAATTACACTTAGGAAGTAGCAACAAAAATAGTTTTATGGTTGGGGGTCACCACAACATGAGTAACTGCATTAAAGGGTCACGGCATGAGGAAGGTTGAGAACCACTAGACTAGAGTAAGGCCTCTATACTAGTTGTGCTTGTTAATGCCACAGTTCAGCCTTCTGAATCAAAACAGAAGACAAATAGCTATTTATTTGGGGGCATATATATATATACACATATGCACATATAGTATACACACACACGTGCACACACACACAGAGGATGCCAAAAATATATACACGTTAAAAAAGGAAAAAACTGCATTAAAATCGTAATACTCACTATATACACATAACAAAAGATGAATATAAGTCACACTGAGCACCTCTTATAATTGCAGAAGTCAAAGGTGACTTGAGTATTACTAATGTACTACCTTTTTTTCCTTTCTTAAAATGCACATACATTTTTTGTCATCCTCTGTGTGTAGATATACAGGGTGGACATAAAGTTTGTGGGCAATTTAAATTACCTGACCATATACACACACACAGAGGTATATTAGAGTCAGGGATCTTGCTATATTGCCCAGGCCAGTCTCATTGAGCTCCTAGGCTCATGTAATCCTCCTGCATGGTTGGGACTACAAGCATGCACCACTACAGCTACAGCTGCTTTCTTTCTTTCTTTTCTTTTTTTTGAGACAGAGCCTCAAGCTGTCCCCCTGGGTAGAGTGCCATGGCATCACAGCTCACAGCAACCTCCAACTCCTGGGCTCAAGCAAGTCTCCTGCCTCCACCTCCCAAGTAGCTGGGACCACAGGCACCTGTCACAACACCCAGCTATTTTTTGGTTGCAGCCGTTGTTGTTTGGCGGCCCGGGCTGGATTTGAACCCGCCAGCTCAGGTGTATACAGCTGGCACCTTAGCCACTTGAGCCACAGGTGCCAAACCTACAGCTGCTTTCTTAATAGTTTTTTCTATAGGGCCTCTGCCTCCCGAAGTCAGACACAGAAACAGAAAGTGTCCACCTCATAGAGCTTCACAGATTTTCTGCTGGTGTGATTCTCTTTAAGGGCAGATGGTCAGGACTGTTCTTATCCCATGGAGCTGGTTATGACAACTCCTATAGTGATGGTCAAATGGAGGATGCTTCCAAACCTTGCTAGGAAGAGGTAGAAATGTACAGAGTCCAAGGCCTCCAGCAGAGTCCCTGGTTCTGAGAATTTTAAATAGAAAATTTGATGTGGGGCTTGGCACCTATTGCTCAGTGGCTAGGGTGCCGGCCATATATAATGGGGCTGGCAGGTTCGAATCCCAGCCAGGCCTGCTAAACAACAATGACAACTGCAACAAAAAAAAGCTGGGCATTGTGGCAGGCGCCTGTAGTCCCAGCTACTTGGGAGGCTGAGGCAAGAGCATTGCTTAAGCCCAAGAGTTTGAGGTTGCTGTGAGCTGTAGATGCTGTGACACTCTGCTGAGGGTGACATAGTGAGACTCTGTCTCAAAAAAAAAAAAAAGAAAACTTGATGTGGGGAAAACACTTTTGAATTTGTATGGTCTGACACTACAGGGCACTTTTGTAAAGACAAGACTTTGTCTTTTTTTACATCAGATATTCAGTGGAAATAAGGTCTTCTAGGTAACCTCTAATTAAGCCTTCAACTCCCTTTATCTTCTCCCTGTACACTTCTGCCTCCTGCATCCATTCTTAGTAGAAGCAAGTGACCTTGGTGGGTCTCTGCGAGGCCTATCAAAGGTCAGGACACTCAGGCTGCAAGTGACTTGTGTCCCCTCCTCTCCACGCCCCTCCTCACTGTCACAATGTTGATCCCGTGCTACCTGCAACCACCCTGTCCAGTCACTCCAGTCCGAGAGCCACCTCAGCAGTGTGAAGACCCCTCTGGCCACCTGCTGAAGTTCAAGTCTCTGATCCTATACAAGTTTTCCTATAAAGCTACAGGAGATGAGATGACTGGGATGCCTCCCAAGGGTAGAGCTGCTGCGTTTCTTACCACTGAAAGCAAACCACCTTGCTTTCCCTCCATTTTCTTTGCTCTTCAGTCAGGACGAGTCCTCAGCATAACTTCTTTACCCTTTGGACCATCTGCCAACCACAGAGGAATCTTGTAGTTCCAACAGAAAACCACAAGTGTCGTGGGGGAAAAACCCCACAAAGGCCCCAAATCATACTCCCTGTCCCGTACCCTGCTGCACGTCTCCATCTGCTTCCTTTAACACCTGTGTCCCGGGATGGGGTTGTTCTTCTTTTCCAGCCATACCAGAGTTTCACAAAAAGTTGTCTTTGCTGTCGTTCTGGACCAAGTGCTGCAGCCCAGCTGGGGTCTACCACAGCTCAGCGGACAGGGTGATTAAGCAGCTGGAGGCCAGTTTTGCCAGAACTGTCAACAAAGAATACCCAGGACTTGCAGACCCAGGTATGAGACAGCAGCAGAGTTTCTGTCCTTTGGTATGAGAATGTTCATAGGTGGGGTTCCCTCCCCTTCCCCCCACAGACAGAGAATTGGTGGGGAGCACACAAAAGGCTGGCCCTAAAAAAATGGTGTCCTCTCCAGGGCAACCATCATCTCCTCAGTTAGATTCAAGGAAAGAAAGCTGTTGAGCAGGTTTTAATTCAGAATATCAGCAGTGACTTTTAAAACCACTACATGTCTGTGTATTGCTATTTCTATATGTATACTTTAAAGAAAAAAAGTGTCACCGATTTGAGTGTCAAATGGTACAATTACTTTGGAAAACCAAAATCTATAAAAGCTCAAAATATACCTGGCCTGCGCTCCAGCAATGCCACTCCTAACCAAATGAAGGGAAATACGTTCTATGGGCTCGGCGCCCGTAACACAGTGCTTACGGCACCAGCCACACACACCAAGGCTGGTGGGCTCAAATGCGACCTGGGCCAGCTAAACAACAGCATCAACTGCAATAAAAAATAGCCAGGCACTGTGGCAGGTGCCTGTAGTCGCAGCTACTTGGGAGGCCGAGGCAAGAGTTTGAGGTTGCTGTGAGCTGTGACGCCATAGCACTGTACCAAGGGCAACATAGTGAGACTCTGTCGAAAAGAAAGAAAGAAAGAAAGAAAGAAAGAAAGAAAGAAAGAAAGAGAGAGAGAGAGAGAGAGAGAGAGAAAGAAAGAAAGAAAGAAGTGCTATATTCAGAGAAAGGACACATACCAGAAGATTCATAGCAACTTCATTCACAAGAAACAAAAACTGGAAACAATCCAAACGCCCACAACAAATGACTAGATAAATTGTAATATATTCGTATTTTAGAGAATTACATAATCAATTTTTGAAAAGAGCACATTGTTCCTACACGCAACAATTTGGATGAATCTCACAGATACGTTGTTGAGTAAAAGGAACCAGACACAAAACATACATACTGTATAATTCCATATGTATGAAGTTCAGGAACTGGCAAAACTAATTTATGTCACTAGAAGTCAGAGTGTCAGCTACCTGTGGTGCGGGGATGGGTGGGGAGCTATAGACCGGCAAGGGCACAGGAAACCTTGCGGGGTGCTGGCCACCGTCTCTGTCTGATCTAAACGGCAGTTACACAGGCTCACTTTATGAGCTCACCTTATGTACTTCACTTTCTTATACCACAATCAAAGATAAAGAAATGAACTATTGAATGATTGAATGAATAAAAAGTCATGTTTCTTGAAGGCAGGAGGGGGGTGGGGTCTTGGTGTGCGACACACCTTTTGGGGGCAAGACACAATTATAAGAGGGACTTTACCTAACAAATGCAATCAGTGTAACCTGGTTTCTTGTGCCCTCAATGAATCCCCAACAATTAAAAAAAAAAAAACAAGGTCATGTTTTTTAAGCTGCTTTGTATCCTTCCTTTCTAAACAGTGTTTAGAACCCTGGTGTCCCAGATCCTGGACCGGGCCGAGCCTCTGCTTTCCTCCAGCCTATCTTCAGAAGTCGTCACTGTTTTTCAGTATTACAGTTACTTTACCAGTCACGGTGTGAGTGACCTAGAGAGCTACCTGAGCCAGCTGGCCAGGCAAGGTAGGTCCTGCTCTTTTGTCACACTGCAGTGGTGTTTCAATTCTGAGTTTCCTCTGGTCTTTTTAAATCATGGTTTTTAATGATAGTAGCCTTTTTATTTTTTCATGTTCACAGCTGAGCTGAGATCTGGCTTTTAAATGACTTCGGGGTCTTTAACATTAGGAAGCCTCCTGTTAGTGAACCAGGGATTTACTAAGAGCCCCCCAGTCGTCCCGTAGAGGTGTACCATTAACAGGAAGCTGGCAAATTATTTAAGATTGCACTATAATTTCTTTCTTTCATTAACGTATTTGCCACGTGTAGGATCAAACCTACAGGCAGTACTGTTTTAGATTGCTTATTTGGTGGGCTTTTATTAATAATAGGAAGAAATGGGGCTTAAAAGAAGGCAGGTGGGTGACACAGTGGGAAGGAAAAGGAGGAAAATTAATGCAGGGCAGTTTGTCCAGGGAAGAAAAAGAATGGGCACAACACAGGGTGCAGTGATGAAACCCTGCCTTGCCATTTCATGAGGCCCTTTTGATATTAGAAATAAAATAAGAACCTGAATCAAATGAAAACCTCGTTGGGAGCGGAGCCAGCCAGTGAGTGCCAGATGTTTGGTTCCCAGGTTTGTGCTCTATAAATCCACAGAGCCTTGACAGTGCAGGTTGACAGGGCCAGGAGAAATGAGGTGTGTAGGTAAAGGGCTTGGCACAGAACAGTGTGCCCAGGCTTAGTCCTTCATTCCAGAACATTAAACCCAGCGATAACATGGTCAGCGCATTGGTTAGCATCACGGTGGAGGCAGAAAATCTTCCTGCAGCCAGCACTGAACCAACACGGAGTGTGGGAGAGTCTGTGCATAAACCTTAGGAATGGCAGCGCTCACACAGAGGCAGGAAGAGGAAGTGTAGGCAGGGAGACGCTGGGGTCTTGTATTATTATATTCTTTATTTCTTGATACTAAATTTATCAGCATCTATATCAATTTCTGAGAAAATTCCTGCATTATTCAGTGTACATCAGTGGCAGTTTACATCTCCAAGCGTAGTCCCCAGAAAGCCTTCTCATTTACTGATAGGAATGGGGAATGACAATGAAAAACCTTAACATTTTAAGGGTCTTTTTCTTTTACTTTATATAGAAAGAAGAGAACTTTATTATAGAAAATGTGGAAATCAGAGAAATACAAAGAAAAAACTTCAAATCTCTCATTCTCTTACTTTTAAAATTAAACATATCTTTTAGTTGAAATGTATGGATTTCAATTTCAAAACTGTAATTATTCCTTGCAGAATATGATCTCCCATTTTTTATTTGACATTGTATTCTGTGTTATTAAATAGTCTTTGCAAGGCCAGGTGTAGTGGCTGATGCCTGTTGTCCCAGCACTGTGGGAGGCCAAGGTGGGTGGATCGGCTGAGCTCAGCTGAGTTAGAGATCAGCATAAGACCAGCATGAGCCAGAGTGAGCCAGAGTGAGACCTTGTCTCTACCAAAAAAAAAAAAAAAAAAAACAAAAAAAGCCAGGTGTGGCGACAGGCGCCTGTAATCCCAGCTACTTGGGAGGCAAAGGACAAGTGAATTGCTAAAGGAAGAAAAAAACTCAAACAATTAAAAAAAAAAATCTTCAAACTAAAATGAGTGAAAGCCAGCTGAAATTGAAAGCAAAAATAAAAAAATAAATAAGTAAATAAATAGTCTTTGCAAGTGTTTTTATTTGATTTTATAAGTAATTAAATTAATATCCCTGTATACTAAAGTATTTGATTGGATTGTTAAACAGTGTAGGTTGTTTACTATGATTTTTTAATTGATATGTTATAATACATATTATTATCACTATCACCAAGTTTTTACTAGGCCATTTTTTTTAAACTAGAGGATTTATAATACATCCACAGCAAGGAAAATAGAAAATTAAAGCAAAATCAAATCTAGATAAATCACAAATTTATCCACTGTGTAAGAGATATTGCTCTACTGATGGAACATGAATTTTCCATCTGTACTTTTATTTTCCCATCTGTGCTGATCAAACACACCCTCATCCTAGTGTTTTTGTGACCAAAAGATGCCCATGCTGTATAGATAAGGATTAGAGCATATTCCTTATTCATAGAACATGGTTGATTTGTCCAAATCAGACTCCAAACCTTATTTTGATAATACTGCTGCCATATTCTAAGCAACTAAGTGGGTTTCTCCATCAGGACTCAGTTGCTTCAGTGCAGACTTGGGTTCACTCAGGTTCAGAGTTTCGCCGGACAGGTTTGATTAAAAGAGGAGCTGCAAGATTATAAAAAATATTTACTTATATTTTCTTCACTGTATATTTTCACATTCAACTAATTCATATATTAGTTATGTTTGCAGCCATTATGATAGAGCCCTGCCTTCACTTTTTCCCCATATGATTTGCCCCTTACTTCTATACAGTTCTTTGAATAATCTGTCCTTTTTTTACTAATTTGAAATACCACCCTTATCATATACTAATTTTTCATAAATACTTGGGCCTACACTTTCATATATGTATACTTGAGTCCTACTTATATTTGTAACAAGCGTGTTATTTAGTATGTTGAAACACAAATTCTGTTTCCTTCTTACCCTCTAGTTTCCATGGTTCAGACTCTGCAATCACTAAGAGATGAAAAACTCCTGCAGACCATGAGTGACCTTGCTCCTAGCAACCTCCCCGCCCAGCAGGAAGTACTCAGGACCTTGGCTCTGCTGTTAACCAGAGATGACAATGAAGTTAGTGAGGCTGTGACACTTTACTTGGTAGCAGCCTCCAAAAATGAGCATTTCAGGGAAAAGGTAGGACACTGAATCATGGCTGTCAAGTGAGAAGCTTGTGTAATCTTCAGTCATTTGCTATTACTATTTTAGCATCCATTCTTTTAAAAAAATTATTTTCTTCTGCTTATTAATAGTACATACGCTGTAAAAATAATTAAAATTAAAGAAACCAGGCTTGGTACCTGTGGCTCAAGTGGCTAAGGCGCCAGTTACATACACCTAAGGTGGCGGGTTCGAATCCAGCCTGGGCCACCAAACAATAATGATTGCTGCAACCAAAAAATAGCCAGGCGTTGTGGCGGGCACCTGTGGTCCCAGCTACTTGGGAGGTGGAGGTAGGAGACTTGCTCCAGCCCAGGAGTTGGAGGTTGCTATGGAGCTGTGATGCCACCGCACTCTACCTAGGGGGACAGCTTGAGGCTCTGTCTCAAAAATTAATTAATTAATTAATTAATTAAAGAAACTAGACTGGGCAACATAGCAAGACTGTCCCTACAAAAAATTAAAAAATTAGTCAGGTATGGTGGCATGTACCTACAGTCCCAGCTATTCAGGAGGCTGAGTTGGGAGGAGCATTTGAGCTCAGGAATTTGAGGTTACAATGGTAAGCTATGATTATGCCACTGCACTCCAGCCTGGATGACCAAGTCTCTTTAAAAAAAAAAAAAACTAAAGAAATATATAGAGAGACAAGTGCCCCGCAAGCCAAGGTCCCAGAAAAAAAATTTAATAACTTAGTGCCTATTTGAGATATTGTGTGTGTGTGTGTGTATACATATCTATATATCTATATATAGATATTTGCTAACATATAATTTTTTTTAAAGGGCTCACACTATTCTGTTTCATAAGTGACATGTAATGGTTATTTTCTTTCCATGTCAGAACATACTGGCCTGATTTATTATATTTATGTATTAATAGCATGTCAGCATATGGACATTCTAGCATTTCTTTTCTTTTTTGTTGCAGTTTTTGGCCGGGGCCGGGTTTGAACCCGCCACCTCTGCTATATGGGGCCGGCACCCTACCTACTGAGCCACAGGTGCCACCCAGCATTTATTTTCTTATATTGGTGGGCATTTGTGTAGTTTCCCACTCTGAAAAATATCATGATGAATATGCACACCAGTATATTTTATGAGTAGTTTGGGGTCAAGTTATTAAACTACTAGGTAAAAGAGCTAGAATAGTTCTAAATTTCAAAAACCATCACTTAGCCAGGTGTGGTAGCTCACACCTATAATCCTAATACTTGGGGAGGCCAAGGCTAGAGGATTGCTTGAGCTCAGGCATTTAAGACTAGCCTGAGCAAGAGTGAGGCCCCATTTCTATTAATAGAAAAATTATCCAGGTGTTGTGGCAGGCATCTTTAGTCCCAGCCTCAGGGAAACTGAGGCAGGAGGATCAGTTGATCTTAGGAGTTTGAGGTTGCTGAGAGCTAGGTTGATGCCACAGCACTCTAACCTAGAGCAACAAAGTGAGATTCAGTCTCAAAAAAAAAAAAAAAAAATCACTCATAGTGCCAGGGAATTTACTTGTTCCTCAGCTTTAATTCAATACCCATCCAGATGTAACAAGAACCTGTAATGTAAGCACTGTGGGGTCTCATACAAATAGCGGACTTGATTCTCCAGGAAATCTTTACTATCACTCTAAAAAACAACTCTCTTCAAAATTCAGATCAACTCATGTAGTCTCTTCTTGTCCTTGAGAAGGTCATATGTTGAACTCTGAGAAGAGTTTTTTTCATTGTCTAAGGCATTACCTAAGCTAGGGTCTAATAGTCAGAAGTGTGCGTACTCATGAGAAGATAATCCAAGAGGATAAACTCTGTATTGTTCATTCCTGCAGAATTCTGGTCTCTTAGTGGAATTAGTTCAAAAGACTGTTCTATGTGCCAACCACTCTCACCCCTCCTGAAAAGAGGGAAGGAAAACAGAAGAATCCTGAACACTGCTGATAGCAGTGTATACACTCATCTGAATGTGCAGTTTTCTCTGAGCAGGACTGGGATACTCTTGAGTCATGATGTGCTAGTGTGCTTTTAGAAACAATGATGACACAGCCTTCGTTTGGCTTTTCTGTATGCAACTTTTTATTTTTAGGGCACATGCTACAGGCTAAATGCCTTCTTTTTATTCCAGTTTACCATTCTGTTTATTCTCTCAGATTCATTTTTCATGAATAGGCCTTTATTAAGTGACTACTCTGTCCCTGGCACTGTATGGAGGTTTTTGTGGACACTGTAGAAATAAAGGGAATAGAGTCCCTGCCCTTGAAGAGTGTCCAATCTCATCAGAGAAAAATAACAACTGCCAATTACCTTCTACCTACTAAACACCAGGCACTATGCTAAGTTGCTTATGACCATCTCTCTAAACTTGTGAATATTTTTACCCTCTGTTTTATAGATGAGGAAACTGAGCCTACAAGGAGTTATTTAAACTCAGCTAAGAAGACATACTAATTAAGTGATCGAATTTGGATTATCACCCAAAACCATTTAATCCCCAATGCTTGAAGTTTTCCCATTTTTTCTTATATAGCATAGCAAAGGTTAGCATTTTAAATTCTTAAAAGTAGATGTGAGAGGCTAAAGCAATACAAGGATACCTAGTTGAGAGTGGGTGTTACTGTAAACCTAGAACCTGGCTTTAAGAATCATAGCTACTGGGGGCAGCGCCTATGGCTCAGTGAGGCCCCATATACCGAGGGTGGCAGGTTCAAACCCGGCCCCAGCCGAACTGCACCAAAAAAATAGTCGGGCATTGTGGCAGGTGCCTGTGGTCCCAGCTACTCGGGAGGCTGAGAAAAGAGAATCACCTAAGCCCAAGAGCTGGAGGTTGCTGAGTGCTGTGATGCCATAGCACTCTACTAAAGGTGACAAAGTGAGACTCTGTCTCTAGAAAAAAAAAAAAATAGAATCATAGCTATTGGGCTGAGTACAGTGGTTCTCCCCTGACATCTCAGTACTCTGGGATGCCAAGGTAAGAGGATCACTTGTGGCCAAACATTCAAGACCAGCCTGGGCAACAGATAGATACCAGCCAACCTATCTCTAAAAAATAAATAAATAAATAAGGTGGCATACACCTGTGGTCCTGGCTACTCAGGAGGCTGGGGCAGAAGGATCACTTGGGCCTACAAGTTAAAGGTGAGAGTGAACTATGATCACACCACTATACTTTGGCCCAGTGACAGAACATGACCCTGTCTAAAAAAAAAAAAAAAAAAAGTAAAAGTTTTATATTTTGATTCATTATTTTATGCTTTTTTCCTCCACCTAGAATGATAATTTATGCTTAGGGAGTACTTATATGAAACAGCTTGGAAGTGTAGCCAGCCTAATGATTAGGATGTCAAGAGGAAAATATCCACTCTTCTCCAAATATACTATTGCATTAGGATGTTAGTGTTTCCTTAATTGCCCATCACCTGCCAGAGGAGATGCTGGCAGCCTCTACATTGTGACAGGGAGCTTCTTGCTTCACATTGTGTCTTCTTAGAACTGTTACCAATCTGAGGAGTATCATTGCAACCACCATTTCTTTGGCAACCACTCAAACTAAAGTGAGCAACATGTTCAATGACCCCAAAATTAATAGGATCAGGTATTATTATCTCTGAAGTTAACATAGACTTGCTCTATCACCTGGCATGTTAGCCTGGTATGTAACAAGTGGCTGGACGTTTGTTCATTGGACAAATGAAGTCATATTTACACACGTGCTTATAGTACTGGTGTTCCTGAAATGTGACAGACAGAAATAACATTTCCATCATGATAACCATAAACGAATTATGACTCAGCAGTCTACATAACTGTTATCAATTGGTTTCTCGGGCCACCCGTTGCTACAATTATGAAGTAGTTCAATTTTAGCACAAGACTCCTCTCTATTTTCCTCTCCCATTTCCCTCTTTTCCTTCCTGAGGGCCTTCAAGGTTTAACTACCAAACCAAAGGTTTAACCTTTATCAAAACCACACATGCCAAGATTTGAATGGCTGATAACCACGTAAATGGTCCTACCTCTCAGGCCTGGCTGTCCTATAATAACAATGCTTCACCAGGGATGAAATACTAAAGATAGACGTGGGCATCCACCCACCACTGTTAGTGGGACCTGTGTAGGGGGTTGACAGGAGATGGCACCTCAGGGGCAGTCACCTCATTCCTCTTGGAGGGGAGGCCAGCCTCTGCGTGGTTTGAGTGTTATTTTCCCCCTTTATGCTGCTCACTCCCAGGAAGTAGGTGGTCGAAGTCAAAAGGCCAGAGAGAGGTCCTCAACAGCCAAAGCCTATTTAGGCTTAGTAACTAGTTGCTAGTACTGCTATTTTTCTGGCTTATCTTTGCTTCTTTTAAGAGTATTGAACTATATATCCACACAAAATCTTGTACACAAAAGTTCATAGTGGTAGTATTCGTAATAGCCAAAAAGTAGAAAAAAATCCAAAGGTCCATGATGAATGAATAAAATGCGGTCTAGCCATATGATGGAAAGTTATTTGGCCATAAAAAGGAATGAAGTACTGATCCATGCCACCACCTGTTGAACCTTGAAAATATCGTGCTAAGTAAAAGAGCAAGACACAGAAGGCCACATATTGTATGATTACATTTATATGAAATGTCCAGAACTGGCAAATCCATAGACATGGAGAGTAGATTAGTGGTTACCAAGGGCTGGGGTACGGGAGGAATGTAAATGACTGCTAACAGGTACAGCATTTCTTTTGGGGGTGATGAAAATGTTCTGAAATAAGATAGCCTTGGTGAGTTTGTGAATACACTAAAAACTGCTGAGTTGTACACTTTAAAGAGTAAATATGATATGTGAATTATATCTCCATTTTTTAAAATAATAGAGTTATTCTACTGAGAAGACAGCAGGATGTGTTTAATCCCAACTCCCCCACCCCACCCCCTATAGCGACTATAGCAGAACTACCAATCTAATCATCAGGTTGACTACACTTTCAGGCTGTTTCAGACAGGTACTCACTAAGTATAGATTATTGTTCTAGATGCTAAACAAGTAAAAAAAAAAAACAAGGTCTTCATCCTTAAGAAGCTTCAATATAAATGGGGTCTTGAGATATTTGTCTCCTATAAACAAATACATGGATGCACAGATATACGTAAGAATAAAAATCATACTGCATCTGTATTTATTGAGGGCTTACTTTGTGCCAGGCCCTGTTTTTAGTCCTTTGCATGTATTCCCACATTTAAGATTCATGAAGCTCCTTAAGTGGGTCTTATTATTACACCCAATTGCAGATTAGCAGAGTAAGGCATAGGATGTCAAGGAACATGCTGAGAAATCACAGGTTAGGAAGTTGAGATACATGTTAGCAATATATAGACTTGTAAATTCAGATATATAAGCACATAGAAATAATGACAGTTGATTTAAAAAGCAAGAGCCAGGCATGGTGGCACACAGTTGTAGTCCCAGTTAATCAGGAGTCTGAGGCAAGAGGATCGATTGCTTAGACTCAAGAGTTCCAACTCAGTGTGGAACTCTTGCATAGCAAGGGCATAGTAAGACCCCTTCTCAATCAATCCATCAATAACAAGGAAAATATAACTCATAAGAAATCATAGAGAAGAAAGAGCAGGTCACACATTGCTTGGTGAAGTGGGGACTGGCTCTTGGACAAATGTTGAAGCCAATCAGAAGTGAGGCCTGTCAAAGAGGAGAATAGAGTATGTGAAGTTGTCTGTGGAGAGCACAGCCACTAGGCATATCAGTGAGCACAGCAGGAAAAGAGGACAGCTGGGGAGGCAGCAGGGAGCCAGCTGGGTTAGGATCTTGAAAAGCCCCAATAGAAGTGTTTGATGGTGTTAGGCAAAGAAAAGGGAAGCACTCTACTATGCTAGGAGACGGGGAGGTGGTAAGTTCAGGACTGATGGAAGGTACACTAGAGGAAAGGCATTCCTCATCACTGGGTACCAGGGGCAGAAATACTGCGGTGGCCTAGGCAGGGAGTGAAGACCTTGAAAAGACATGGGCCATGGAAAAGGGATAAATCCAAGAAATCCCATTGTATAAATGACAGAGTAGACTCAGCGCCCATAGCACAGTGGTTACAGTGTCAGCCACATACACCCAGGCTGATGGGTTCAAGCCCAGCCTGGTCCAGCTAAACAACAATGACAACTGCTACAAAAAATAGCCAGACATTGTGGCAGGTGCCTGTAGTCCCAGCTACTTGGGAGGTTGAGGCAAGAGAATCTCTTAAGCCTAAGAGTTTAAGGTTGCTGTGAGCTGTGATGCTACGGCACTGTCCCCAGGGCAACATAGTGAGACTGTGTCTCAAAAAAATAACTAACTAAATAAAATAAATGACAGAGTAATACAGTTTACTGATTCAACAAATAGGTATTAGGGTATGGTGATCAGACTTGAGTTCTGCTTTTAAAAATAAAAACCATTCAGACAAATAGCAAAAAAAAGCATAGTATTACCCAATAAAATGAAAAGTTAATCCTCTTTTCCACCCCTAATTCTCATGTGACTTATTCTTGTAGTGATTCTTATTCATCTGAGTTAATATTAAGTACTACAGGTTTCATGAACTATTTAGAAAGAAAATAGTTTGATAAAAATAAGAAAAGTTACTTTTATAGAGAGATTTTTATTCAGAGCATCCATTTGCCATGTATCAAATTTGGCAAATCTCAAACTGAAATCACCGCCTTTTCACTGGACTGTTCACCTCCTCCTGCCTGACTTATTTCAGGCTGGGTGCCTTTTTCTCATGCAACTCCCGACTAAAATCTAACCTCATTTCCAGTCCAGTGCAAACATCATTTTTGTGAAACTACAGTGGCATTCCATAAGATGTCTCCTCCATCTGACTCACTTAGCATCTTGGAAGCCACAATCATAACTTTGTACCTTCCAATTTCATTTTCCCCAGGGTCCATGACCTCATAGAATATAAGGAGTCAATTTATTGAATAACCAGCTCTTTTAATCAACATGAATTTTAATGGCTTTTTTTTCCTCTGAAAGTGGTATAAAATGTCTAGTTATATGCTAAAGTTTATCTCAGGAAGTAAAAATAATAATATATGTCTTAAACTACAAACAAATCAAAATGCCTTCACAGAGTCCCTCCTTCTCTTCCAGGCCTTGCTCTATTACTGCGAAGCACTAACCAAGACAAACCTCCAGCTCCAGAAGGCAGCTTGCCTGGCCCTGAAAACCCTTGAGGTAAATAAAGCCCAGCCTCAGAGTCTCCCAGCAGTTCAGCCAGCGGTGAGCCAGGCTCAGCCAGGTGTCCACTACAGCTTTTCTTTGATATGTGAAAGTACCTTCCTTTGTGCTGTGTATTAGTTTGGGGGTCCTACCCTTCCTTAAGCCATAACTACATGTGACTCTGTTTTGTTAAAGTCAGTAAAGGGCAGAAGACAATTATGTTTTGCAATAGCCTGTAGGAATCAGTTTGCCTTTAGGTCAGTATGAGAAAAAGGTATCTTGGCTCAATGCCTATAGCTCAGCAGCTAGGGTGCCAGCCATATACACCAGAGCTGGCAGGTTCGAATCCAGCCCAGGCCTGGTAGACAACAGTGACAACTACAACCAAAAAATAGCTGGGTTTTGTGGCAGGCACATGTAGTCCCAGCTACTTGGGAGTCTGAGGCAAGAGAATCGCTTAAGTCCAAGAGTTGGAGGTTGCTGTGAGCTGTGACGTCACAGCACTCTACCCAGAGTGACAGCTTGAGACTCTGTCTCAAAAAAAAAAAACAGAGAGAGAGAGGGAAGGATATCTTATGCCAAGGGAGGGATCATATGGGGATTTCACCAATTTTTACAGTGCACAACAAACAACAGGGACAACTAAGAGTTGCAAAGTACTGAGATTCAGTGTGTCACTCAAGTCCCGTGTCCTTCTTCATCAGCTCTCTTTTGATTATTCTTTTTTCCTCATCAACTCCCTTTACTAAGCAGCTAACCAATAAGGCTAAGCATTCCCAACATAGAAGAGTTTCCCTTACAGCAGGCAAGATTTAATGTTTGACCTGCTTTTATCACCACAAATAAGTTTTGAGAAGAGAAGGAGAAGGCCACACCTTTGTACCTGGCAAAATCTTGGAAGAGCTCCTGGGACAGGAGCAGGGACCTACAGACTTGATGGGACATGAAGAAAAGGATTAATACCTCCAAAGAAATAGTTAATGATCTGTGACCAAAAATAGCTCTGGGAAGTTTTGCCATTCCTTATTACTTGGTCAAAAAATTACCTTCAGGTTGCCAAAATATATATATA